GTGCGCATATTTGACATGGTGTAACAAGAAGAACAACGTGTGAAAACCTGCGTAACGTTGATTTGAGCGCCACGTCACGCCAAACGATGCGCCCGCAACGTGGCGCAAGCCCGAGGCGAGGCGGCGCCTCACCAACCCACATATTCCACGTCATGTTGAGGGAAGACGTATGGGTTGATATCGAGGGTATATAAATATAGGAACGTGTTACCCGTGTTATATCCCCTTTACTTTTTCCCCTGAAAGGAGTACCAGCTTGACATTTGCCACCCTCGTGTCTTATTTTGGTCTCGTGTCCATAGAAGACCCGAGGTGGTGCTGAGGTTCTCGCTATGGTTTTTGAATGTTAACACATGAGCGAGACAGCAGATTTGGAATTGGGGCACAAATAAAAAGTACTTTTGCGTGTACAGCTTCTCGGGTCCAACAAATAATTCCTCAAATATTGACTGGAACCAGACTGACAAACTCAGTTAATATCGTAGTTGTTTACCACTTTTGCGTAAGGTCCTTCTCTTGCCTCTTCCTAGATCGCCCTCGTTTGCAAAGCTGGGTCTTTTTCCACGAATAGGCTTAGAACATGAGAATGTTGACAAAAAAGTGCACACTGTCATTTGCAAGCGGAAAAGTCCTTGTAATGCAGAAAAATTCGAAAATTATTGTGATATGAGCTGAAGCATTGCAAACTTCAGTACATTTTTCTACTCATATTCTTTCATAACCATTTCACACAACACATTCACTCATTTTTCTTCGTATAGGTAACGCACTGCTTTTACTACTCAATATCTGGTGTTTGCATGAACTCTCTGTGTCATAAAGATAAGCGCTATAGGAGGGTTTTTAAATTGACTGGCACATTTGAACTTCTCGAAACAAACCTCCTTTTGAGATTTTCTCAAAGAAAATTCTTTGGTTGGGTTTGATATTCTGAGTCTCCATATCTCCCATTCAAATCATAGCTTTAGGTTATGGCTCTTAAACTAAAAAGAATTAATTTCTTTTTCCTCCAAAATTTCTCCTGTACGTAATTTGAGTGAAATGCGTACAGTTTCATTGTTTATTAGTGAGAAATATTTTTGGATCAGGTGCATTGATGGGATATTTCTATAGCTGCTCTATACATTCTGCAAAAATTTAACGTTTTTAATTTTTCAAAACAAATCAATTTTCTTGCATTCTTCTTTCCTAAAGAACACTGGAGCGCCTTAAGTTTTTGCAAGCGTGAATTTCTGTTGATCTTTGCTATACAACTTAGGCTGTGTCCTTGGCGGGCTAGCAGCGTTGATCGATCAATACGGGTTGCTTCCACGCGGGGGAGCTGGCACGGCACTGGCACGTGGGCAACTCTGGACGCAGCCCCGAAACCACAGTTAAGCAGTTCTTCGGATAAAATACAGCTGAACTTCCTATGGAACGGTCCTGAAAAAAATTGGATTTCACTTGTGGCTGATACTCAACTACAATTTCGATCGCTGAAAAATTTTTAGAGAAGAGGTTTTTGGATTTATTTCAGGAAGAACTTCCGGTCTCCAATAACCAAGTACGGGTACACATGGCATCTCGAAAGAATTTCGTCAAATATACTCCGCCGGTTAGTTTTCTTTACTTTTACTAATACTTAGGCATTCATTCATCGATTTCCTTTTTTGTATGTAGAAGCCACATTTTTTTTTCCAAAAACTCAAAACCTATCCATCACCGGATTCTTGCCATAAAATCATGAATCCGATTGAACTGTCAAAATGGGCGTAATTACCCCGAACGAGATCGCATCGTATTTGTCGATCTGCGCGTGCCCCTCACGTCCTCTTTGGGATCATTCCCTCCCCCCCCCCCCTTCCCCCGACCTCCTCCACTCCTCTCTCGTTAACCGGTCTTCTCAATCGATTGACTAGAGTTCTTTACCTCTGTCCTTCGCAGCTATGTCTCTAAACCAGTGTCTTTCGGGTCTTTTCTAGCCATTCACCCGTCTCCTTTCCTTATGGAAAATGCAATTTTTACAACTCTCAACTTTTTATCAGAATTATGTGTCATTTCCAAATCGTTTTGTATTCCTGAAGCAGCGCCTCACTTTATTTACTTTTTGTTTCCATAAGGGCACTCGAGAAAATTATTTTCTAACCCTCATAGCAATTGGCCTCATTCTCGAAATCTTGATGGAAATAAAGGAGTGAAAACAATCTGGACATTTTTTGCATTTTATTGATTGAAATTTCCTTTCGGAGGATGTCCATTAGAAATATGAATTATTTACCTAATTTTACACTACAAGGACATATTAGTAGTACAGCAATCTGTATAAATATTATACCATGTATTTACCCCTATTTTTCCAGTCTTCCTTTTGCCGTAGTTTTCTCGATTCCTTGTTTATTCTGCTGAAAGCATTTATTTATTTCGTCATCCGAATACAAAAAAATAGTCTATCAGATGCTTGCTTTGCTTGAGATAAACAATATTTCTCTCTTTCCATGAGAGTTCAATTTATGCGATCTTTTCAATGATCCCACTTTTCTTATCATAAAGTATAGAGCCTACTGATCTCTCAAAATCTTCACCTTAAGTGTTTCATAGGTAACAAAAAGAATACTAAGAAGTAATAAAAATTACATTTACTCAATCTACTCTGCATTCGTCTTATCATCGATCGGCTATAAAATCGCAAAATGTGTTGAATCTCTATTGCTAATCACTGCATCTATCTTTACTGCTTAAATCATAACCGCAACTTTCAGTTACTTCTATATATTGTCTTCTTTTTAAGTTTGTTTTTCGCATCAGCATGTGTAAAATATCACTTGTATTGCTAGAATTGTTGAATAATCTATTCGCTTTGTATTTTGAGTATCAAGTTGTAACTCAGAGTTTTTTTTGGCATACAATTTTTCCACTTCTCTTGAAACTTTTGCACAAATTGATAAACAAAAAATCCCGTAAATGTGAGAAAAAACATACTTGGAGAGTTCCAGTTTTGAAGAGTGTCTCTTCCATTGACGAGGTTCCATTAAGAACTTTTTGTGACAGTATGACTTTGTGCAAGTATTTCTTCCTCTCGAGAACCTAAGTCAACAGAATGCCGATAATGACTCTGGTATTAGTGATAATGAGTGCTTGAGTGCGCAGAAACTCTCTATTCCTCCTCCTCTTCAGCTTCAAACTAACAGTTCTGAATACTTTCGATATATGGTACGATTGCGGAAGCAGATTTAGATCTTTTGGGGAAGAGTTGATAGTTTTTTTCCTAAAATTGTTGAGAACGACACGCCCACCTTACTAGACAATTTGATTTTCCCTTCTTCTCCTCGTGTGGGGATAATATAGCAATGAAATTGTGTTCGAAAGAGCTGAATAAAAAGGCTAGTAAAATATAGACATTTAAATCGATTTACTTACAAATGCTTAGCGTAATGCATTTATTTATTAGCAAAGTAAGGAACAACTTCACTTTTATTTCGTTATATTCATTTAGATTATTCTAATTTTTGCATTTATTCGTTTCTGACTACATCATTTATACTGAACCAGTGAATAAGCCAGAGATCATAATAAGATCATAATATACCAGACTAGACCATATACTTCTATCGTATTTCTATCCCTCATCCTTTTGCACTTTCAACCGCAAGAGTACATTTCTGCGCTTTCCAGTCTTTAATTCATTCTCTTCGCATCTTAACAAACCAGAGAATTTTGTCAAAGAAAATTTCGTGAGAACTGCGCGATTCTGTTTTGCCTGGGCTGGTTAGCGACAAGGTCATCGATAGCTGGTACATGTTCTCACCTATCGATCTAGGCGTACCTAACCCATTTAGAGGTGATGTTATATCGCTCATATGATTAACAACTTTTAATCTCTGAACGATATCCGTTTGCTTGACATCATAGTATTTGTTTGTCTCGTTGATTATACTCACATATTCTATGAAGTTCTTAGAATGTTGATGAAGCAAAGAATGTTGCGCATACTGATGAGGAATCAGCGCATAGATTAGTCATTCGTTGTTGTTTTTCTTTGCTTCTTCTAGAAAAAAAATTTTTGTTAACTCGATGGATGCTACAGATTAAGTTTTTTTGCAGACTTTTTTCAAATAGTCTTTTGAGTTTATCATTGGAAATAAAAATTACCTATAAATTCTCGGAAATACCACATTAGAGCCTCAATCAAAAAATTCACCTCTAATCTGGAAAGGTTTTCCAAAATTGTTTACTGCGTCCTTTCGTTTATGCAAATACAGATCGCAGTGAATGTTCGGAATCATAGATAAGAATGTTTGATTTGCCGCGCGTAGTTGCTTATGTGGCTTTTTTGCTTTCGTCTTTTCACATCTCATGTTTTGCTTAATTTTTATCTATGTAATTTACAATTCTATCAAAAATTGCAAACAAACATTTGAATTGACCAATATGCAAGTTCAATATTTTAACTTTGATATTATTTTAAATCACCAGCAATTTTTTTCACTTTTTCCAGCTTAGAGCGCACAGACAACTAACACGAACTTTTGCAACTCTTTCACAGCATTCGCCGAGGCTGTAGAAACCCTGCGAAAGTGCTGCGGAATCTGCAATGAAGTGTAAGCGATTATAAGGGCTTAAGAATGGGATGATTGGCTTAAGAATTTCAAAGTCTAGATGCTTATAGCGATGATAACCACCTGAGTAACGATTGATGTTAGTTCATAACGTTGATATCTCTTGAATGGGATTTTTTGTCCGGACCACTTTGTTTTTCTCTTGCATTCTGATCAAGATTCATTTAGATTCTGCTCGCTTCTGTTTGAGTTTACTAGAACTTTTTCAAAAATTTAGGTGGAACGAGCAATAAAATATACTTAATTGCTGCAAGGAACATTGATATTTTGATTTATTATTTCTCTGTCCCTTCTTTCCCTCGTCTAGAAGATACTCCACGTAAAAACCTGAATTTTCATTTTTATCTCTGAGGATGAGCGCCGCTTAGTAGTTTATTTACAACCCTTGGACTTGCGTTGCTGGTGGCTTCTTTTCCTTCAATCACAGAACGATTGGAACTGCATTTCTTTACTGAAGTGGTGCTCAATTTTTTTTCATGGGATCATGAATTCGGTAGGCGTTTTACAGGTACCTAGGCTAAAAATTGAAATATTGAACAAGAAGCTTTTTGCTGTTTCCATAATCACTTATATGTACACTCAAGCAAACTTTGTATTTTCTAAATACCCAACCACAAATTTCCCTTATGGCTCTTTTCCAGGCTTGTTTGTTCAATTCATACACTTATTAACAATTTCTGCCATACCTTCCTAGAAAATTTTAGCTTAATATAATAACTCATGGTTATGTCATTTTTCAACCTGATAGCTTCAATTGCGCCATTATTCTACTACTTTACTCATTATGATTATCCCGCCACCCCCTCGTGAAACCTGATTTACCACTTTTTCTAAATCCATCGGGCATACGCATCCATTTGTTTGGCATCACCCAGCAACCATATTTGGCCTGACCGTCTGCCCTCCTCGTCAAAGCTATGTTCATTTCTGAAGCTTGTGTTATTTGATATTTTTCCCGCAAATGTAGCGCTGAGGTCAGTATGAGCTTTTCTATAGTCTTCGAAGATTTCTTGTATTTGCTCTCGAAAAATACAAACCCTTGAACTCAAAAGACAGCCAAGCGTACAAGGAATTTACCGCAAAAGATTTTCTTTGAATTCTCTGCTGATTTTCATACTTTTCTATGACTAGTCCGCAACGTTCTGTTGTTTCAAGGCGATGCATTTTTCATTTTCAAAAAATGTCAAGTGAAGTTCGATATGAATGCGTTGTATATTTATAAAACTTGTTCTAGAATACTTGCTCGACAAGCTGTAGTCAATTTTCGGATAGGGAACAAGCGTTTGATCTTTTTTTCATCAGATGATTTTCTCAACCACGCAAATCAAAATAAGAAAAATTCATAGGTCCACTTTGTAGATTTCAATTGGAGTCGCAGTTGTTTACTAGAAATCACCATGTTTCGGATAATGCTGCGACTTTAGGATAAAGTTCTTTCTGCCTCTGATCTTAATTTTACAAATTTGCGCTTGGTTCGAAGTCAAATTCAACTTCTTGGTGAGAGTTAGGCATATGATACTCATGGACAATATCACTCATGAACCTGATATTCTGACTCAAGAGCTAATTATGTCGATCCCGATCCCTTCTTTTTCATTCTTGGGCAAAGTCGTGACTGTAAATGTTTTCGGACCAAAACTTCGTATTTTTGCTGTTCTTAATTCTACACCCTGCTGTAGACGGATGGTGGAGCAAAGCAATTAAAAAGTAAAAACAACAAAATCTGTATGCAGGAGATCTTTTCTGTGATGTCGGAGCTGAACGAATTTGCAAGATAAAATTCTATTCATAACAATGAGAAATTACTTAAACCGCAATAACTCCTCAGTTTCCTTCTATACTTACTTTCATAGAAACCATTAAATACTGAAAGACTTCCTCTAAAAAGTTGTTCAGCACAGATTGGTTATGGACTCTTACCGAATGCTTTTCAAGCCGTTTCGAAAAGGATATGCACTTATCTGTAAGTCTTCAGTTCGTGAAAGTTTTTCTTGAACCATTGTCTTGTACAAAAATCGTATTTGTCTCCGCAAAATCTAAAAATTTCTACTCTTCTTGCTCTTTTCTCCCTCCAGTATTGCACTTTTTCAATTTGAATTCAGCGATGACTTCACGATTTTTTTACATCACGCAAATTGAACTAGAGCTCATTATCGGCTTAACTATGATTTTTCTATGTTTTGTAAATCTTGGATTACCTAGAATGACCAGAAAATTAGTATTCAAAAAATTTTCTCCTAAAAGTGCAGAGCTGATGTAGTGTCTATTAAGACGAGTCTGCTCTTATAATCAGATTATCTGGGAATCATGCTCAGCACTGATCTTTATACCAATAATCAGCACTGTTCTTTCAACTGACAATCTCAGGGAATTTGCTTCTCGTTTTTAAAATATAACGCGTTGTCCTGTGATAGGGTAGAGATGCATCCTGTTCATCCAAAATTTCATAGCTACTACTATCAAAATCAAACTGGCTTTTTCTTTCCTTATCTTCGTGGAGCAGGTTGAGTTTCCACGTTTTACATTTACTTGAGGACGTCTACTATGAAACCTTCTTGGAACAATCTGCTTGATTTCTTTCAGAACCTAGGTGGTATGTCAAAAGGCGTTTGAGATTTTTTCAACTTTACCCTCTTCATACTTTGGGCTTGCCTTCTGTAAATGATGAATCGCACTGTCATACCTCTAATGGGAATTTATGATCTACCAGCATGTACACGCTAGTCCTTGACAAATTCACCTCGTCTAAGTCTGACCTTCTTCGTTTTCTCTTTGATTTATTCTGTACGTCAGAGAGATAAAAACGTGATAAAAAGTAATAACTAGTTCTTAGATGTTATGACAAGATATACCTACCAGTTGCTGGGTTCTCGCTCGCTTAGCAGTGGAAGAGGTCGGGTGTTGAGGTAAGCGATATCTTCAGTCATCTCTTTTACTCCCTTCTTCCTACTCTTTCTTTTTAGCTTCTTTTTATCTCTTCATTGCAGATACTTATTTAGTGAGGTTCTGCTACCGTTGTTAGTGGGTATATCTCTCGGTTATGTGCTAGGCCTCACGTTCGGATTCGAGGAAACTGATTCAGTGGACCATTTAGTTCAGTTTGACGATGGTCAGTTTTATTGGAAGTCTCAGACTTACGAAATCAGTTCTGGTCTAATTCCATTCTTATTCAGAGATAACGGAAAGGAGCTTATTTTTCCTGCGATGCATAATTCTAGTACATCCTGATGCTAAGGTAAACGCTAGCATAGCGGAACCAAGTTCATCTCAGATTTCAGAAGCCTCATAGTTTTATGAATGCCATAAAGGACACTTATGGAAGCATATGCAACCAGACGATGTATATCACAAATTCGGAGGAGATCAAGAAGAAGGCTGGAGGTGAGCGAAAACTAGGTTTGTTAGCTTATATATTGCATTTAAGAGAAAAAAATTGTTCAAACAGAGGAGAGGTGTTGTCTTTTTGAGGTTTAGATGGAAGTGAGGGGGAAGTGGGGGTGGGGGGGGGGGGGAGATTAGGCGGTAAAGAAAGCAGTTTGTGGCATGCTACCTTCCGCAAGCGTGGAGCCTTTTCGAACTTTGCGTTGCGGCTCGAGCTCAGCACTCCATCCTTGTGCTCGAAAATGCCCTGGACTTCTAACCCTGCACCCTAGAATCTCTTAGGTCTAAGGCATACCTCGCGCGATTCCATCGAATCGCTACATCCGCGAGGCTTGGCAGTTTGCCAGATGTCTACAAATCAACCGTGCGCGGGTCTAAAATGCATAGGCACGTAGCTTCGGTAAGTTATAGCAAAAGCTTCAAGTCTGGCTCATGCAAAGCGCGCTTACGACCAATTATGAAGAGTCGCTGCAGTGCCAGATCGCGCAGCGACTGGATTCTTGTGAGGTATGCCTTGGGCCTTACGCGTCCGCTACCGACGTGCACTTCGACGCGTCCACACAACGCGGTCACCCCAACAAACAACTCATATAACAAGCGCCTAAATTAAGTGAGTTTGTCCTGGGGCGCATTTATCAATTTTCCTCTCGCTGTTATCAACGAGTACCCGGACAGGCGAGAGCTGCATTCCATAATTTGTGGAAATTTGGGGGGGGGGGCGGTGGTCCAACGGGCAGCAGAGCCCGATCTGTTGAGATCGAGGACGATCGGGCACCTGCCGTGCCCAGCATGGCCAAACTTGACAGAATCGGACCATTTCCTAAAAAAAAACAGGAGTCCGACCACTAGCTTGGCTTCTTGTATCGCGGGCGCCAATGCCCACCCCTGTCGGTCTGTGACTTGTAGAAGAACCCCTTCCCATATAGGAGATTGATAAACACCGCCCTTGAGTACATATCCAAGAAAAAGGGCTATAATGAAACACAACATGGACCATTAAGCTTCTGGAACAATAACTCAAAATATCGACATGGGACGAGCGCGTCGTCCCGTGTATATTCTGAAGCCTTATTCCATACAGCGATGTTCTGAGTTTTTCCACCAGGGTCGGCCACGAAGTCCAGTCTGTATGGCACGGTCCAATCCCAGCTCCAATCACGCAATGACGATCGTCTCCAAACTCAAGAATTTCGCGCTGTAGCGCGTCCATCTAAAAATCTAACAATGCTCAAACTCTCCATACGAAAGCTGCTAATGCGGGAGCTGCTGGAAATGAGGCCAAGCATGATGCAGTAAGATAAACAAGAATTAAAGAGGCAAGTGCCGCTACCAAAGCGGTCTTATATACCACGCCACTTGGACGCATCCACCCGCAGTGGTTCTGCGGCGGCGAATGCAATATGCCCTACCTACGCGGCATACAGCGCTCCCGCGTCCAACTGCTAGTGGGTTGTTCTGCATCGCGGAGCCTCGATATCTTACAGCGGGGGGAGGGTCAGTCTTCTGTGCAGATTTTCTCCAGAACTAGCCCTGTGAGAAGTTGTTACAAGTATTAAGTAGAAGTATTGTTCTATAAATAGAATAATCTGAATAGAAGTACAACTTTTCTCAATCTATTATTGTTACACTCTTGTTAGCACATTTCAGACAAGTACGTCGTGGCCATTGAGTCAAACTCTAACGGATTTTATTGGAATTATTTCAACTTTATACTGCAAAACTCAGCGGAGGTTGTAATTCAGTATTATGTCTCGCAAATTTTGTGGCCTTATTTCATCGTTCAGATACCAGCACAGTGGACCTTTGTAGGAGATGAACAAGTTTACTTATCTGTACATAATCTTAGGAAACTTGTACAAACCGTCAACCATAAACAGTCGATCATGTTTGGCAGGGTATTTGTGCAGAAGTAATGCTTGATATTCTAGGTTAGTACTTAGAAGCAATCGTTTTGCCTGTTTTTAGGTCGATACTCTACCGTATCTTCCCGCTTCTTCAACCTGAAAGAATAGCATTACAAAGTGGAATCGTTTTTTCTCATTCGGTGAGCATCCCAATTTCTTTCGATAATGCTCTTAGAAGCATATCCTTACAGGCAATCAAAGATCTTTCACAATGCAAGGGCCTTCTACTTCCACGAGCCACCGAATCGCGTTTATATGCCTGCGCAAAACAAGTTGGTATACGGATAGTCGACCCAATAGATGAGGTTTGAATTAAGCATAGAGATTTCGAATTTTAAGAGATTTGAATTAGCGACTTTGATGTGCCTCATGCGAGTGTTGAGGAGGTGTAACCAGTAGAGCACTTCAAAGGGAGTGTTTCATTAGGGTTTGGGTTGTATTGTTGTTGTTGCGAATTACAAGCCTTCGCTTCTTAACCCTATGCGGATTCAAAACCGCCGAGAATCGCAAAAAACGTCTTTGTTCGAAGCTGTGTAGAAGCAACGTGAACGAGCTGTACTACTCTATCCTTGCTTTGGCCACAGGGTCAGACTAGTCAAGAAGCATGGCGTCTCGAAAAAGACATTTTAAAAGCGATGGGCAACCGAACAAGTGCAGCACGCGTTGACCGCACGTCAATTTGAGAATTTTTTCAACGTAGGAGACTCCTTTTTGAATGGAACTTGGGTTTTGGCCTGATAAAGTTGAGTCCAGTTTACCGCAAATCTGGGGGAGATTACCTGTAATAGCAATGTTGTTGAAAACAAGATTTTTTTCCGGATTTGAATGTGACTGTACAGGGGGCTTACCTGCTTTCATCGTGACAAGTTTCCATCAGATTCCGAGTTTTCCTCACTCGCATCTGAAGCGGTGACTGTGTTCCAGTTTGGCACGTACCCCGACGACGTCATTCACTTAGTTCGGGACCGCCATCACTGCTCACGCATTATCCGTACAAGTCACTGCGGGCTTTGCAGTATGCAAGTCTTTTTAGAAGATCGCGGTGCTTTCCACTCGAACTTTCGTTCTTGTCTCTAGTTTTTTTTTTGAAATCTGCAAAACATCCTTAATCGGACCTTCTCAAGCTGTTCAAAGCCCATCCTTGGGTTCAAACAATGATTGGCCGAAACTGCAAACAGTCAAGGCGGAAAATCGGATGTGCCTCTGCCTTCAACGTGGAAGCTATCTAACATCACCACGTTAAAAAAATACTCAACATTGAGTTGGTAGCAGAGAATTTCACCAGAAGCTGACCTTCTCTTTAACAAGAAATAGTCTCGTTTACTTGTTTTCAGTCAGAATCAGGGCTCGGCACAAGGTGGGCAAACGGGGTTTTCCAAAACGAATACCCCTTTGATCCCAGTAAGTTTTACGAATACTCCCTTGAGCCCAAAAATGACGTTTTGTGCTTGTGCGACGAGATTACCGGCCACACTTCGCCTAAAAGCGCTCAAAAGCGCCCAAATTGCTCAAATTCCTCATATTACTCAAATTGCTGTACCAAGATAGGAAACAGGAAGAAAAATAAGCAGTAAAAAGGATTAGGGAATGAGAAAATATCAAAGAAACGCGGTCATAGGATTGAGAGACGCCGTTCCCGCGCGTATCGATTGACTGGGGCGCGCATTCTATCTTAGAAAGCTGGGCTGCTGATGCCATTTTGGGCTCCAACAAGGACAAGAGGAGGAGTTTCGGAACCAAAATTTCACCATGTAGTAAACTTTAGGTGTACAACAGATTTATGTGAAAATTTTGAGAAAATTATGTGAATTGAGAGTTTTGCCGACCTCAGGTGGGAATTAGGTCGGCAAATGCCGACCTAATTTGGAAATAAGTTAAGGAAACTCTTCATTCACATAAGTTTTTCATAATATTTCATACTTTATTACTTAGTCCTATTGCGCATATACACACCGAAGCCCGCGCGATTTCGTTACCTCTGCGTTGCAAACGAGCCATTTTTCCATTTCTTTGGTAGCGCAAAATTTCCAGAAAAAAGTTTGCCACAACCTTCAGTCACATAATTTCTCAATGAAACTCCTCAGTTAAGTCCTGCAAGCCCGTGTGCATGTACTTACCAAGTTTCATACCATATCGTTCATCTGCGCTTTCCAAACGAGCCGTTTAAATTTACATTTTCATTTACCAGTTTTGCGAAATTCTCGGAAAAAACGCCAATTACTCATTCCGTTCACATAAGTTTTTCATAATTTTTCATACTATGTTTCCACTAGCCTCTGTCCGTTCGCACACAAATTGGTGCCATATCGTTACACACACATTGAGAACTAGTCATGTATGCAGTTACAAATAGCATCGCTTGGGCGACGTCGCGCGTGCGGCACTTAGCGACGGCGCGGTTTGACGCGCGCGAACTCCAGTGTTCGCCTGTTGAGGCACATAACATGTCAAGATAAGTAGCGAGCATGAACTACCAATTTTTTTCCGGGGCTCTGCCCCGGACCCCGCAAAAACGATTTCCCCTTTGCTTTTTGGCCCCAGAACGATTTCCAGCTTGTCATTTGCCGACCTCGTGCCGGGCCCTGGTCAGAATACACTCATCGCTTAGTTGATATATGGCTAATACTTAGATACTTAGATACTTAGATGGCCCGGCTTCACGTGACGTGCGGGCCCCAGCTCAGAAGTTTCCATTTTTCCCTGTCCCTCGCTTCTGACATCCACGATCTTCTTGGCTGACGTCGGTGGCTGCGTCCACGAGTTCCGGGTGCAAAAATCGTATCCAGCTGATTTCTCAGCTGGTCCATCCGTTCCACGAACACGTCTGCCCATCTCGTTGGAGGTCTTCCTCGGGGACGTTTGGCTTCGCGAGGAATCCACTCCGATGTTCTTAGTGTCCATCTGTCGTCTGTTCTTCTCATTATGTGACCGGCCCATCGGTGTTTGGCTTTCGCGACGTATTCCGCTGGGTCACGAAGACGGGACATTCTTCTCATATCCGTGCTGCGAAGTCCGACTAGATGTTGCTTGCGTCGGGTCATCTTCAGAAGACTGCGCTCGAGCGCTCTGTGGGTGGTCCGTAGAGCTTTCGACGTGGCTACAGTGTCGGCCCAAGTCTCAGCTGCGTAACAGAGCGCCGGGAGAACGGTTGAGTCGAACAGGTGGGCACGAAGCTCCGGGTCCGTCAGTTGGTCGGTGGCTTCCTTCAGGGGCCCGAAGGCGGCCCAGGCTGCTCTTCTTCTCCTGTTGAGTTCTTCCCTCAAGTCGTTCTCCATGTTCATCGAACGTCCGAGATACACGTAGGAAGACGTCTCCATAATCGGGGTGCCTTCCAATTCCATTTCTGCATCTTCGCAAAGGGCGTTCTTCATGAACTGAGTCTTCTTCCGATTTATTCGCAGTCCGATCTTCTTCCCTACTTCGTTTAGTTCCTTCAGCATCGTCTCTGCTTCGGTGATACTGCTCGAGAAGAGAACGATGTCGTCCGCAAAACGAAGGTTGGACAGGAATCTCCCATCAACTCGTATGCCTCTCTCGTCCCAGTCCAGTGACTTCATCACCCACTGCAAGGCCGCGGTGAACAGCTTCGGCGAGATTGTGTCGCCTTGTCGGACCCCCTTCCCGATTGGTATGGTCAGGGGGCGATGGAATAGCTGCATCGTCGTTGTACAGTCCTTGTAGCAGTCGGCTAACGTCCTCACGTAAGCTGGGTCCACTCCTTGATCGACTAGCGCAGACAGGATGGCGTTGGTTTCGACGCTGTCGAAGGCTTTCTCGTAGTCGACAAAGGTTAGGACGAGAGGCAGTCGGTACTCCCGGCAGACTTCTATGACCCTCGAAACGGTCTGGATGTGATCCATGCAGCTGAATCCTTTGCGAAATCCAGCTTGTTCTTGGGGTTGGGCTTCATCCAGTGTCCTTGATATGCGAGCGAGGATAATCTTCGTGAAAAGCTTGTACAGCACACTCAGCAAGCATATTGGACGATAGTTCCGAAGATCCTCCCGTTCACCCTTCTTGAAGAGAAGGACGGTTCTTGACGTTCTCCACTGGTCGGGAATCTTCTCCTTCTGAAGGTAAGATGTCAAATGCGACGCTAGAATCTCGTGTAGACGGTGTCCTCCGGCTCGCAGAAGTTCGACGGAAAGATGATCTGGTCCTGGAGCCGTGGACGTCTTCATGGTCTGTATCGCGATACGCACTTCAGCAGGTAGAATTCGTGGTGGTACTTCTCCAGTGGGAACAACGGGCATCTGCACGGGTGTTGATGAGCGGAAGAGGTTGGTGTAGAAGTTCTTCGCGATAGATTCCATCTTGTATCGGAAAGAAGTCGGAGTCCCGTCTTCGTTCAGTAGTGCAGCCAGCGGTACGTGATATTCGCAGAGGTCCCTTCGGCACTTCTTGAGACTACGTCTTCTTTCTGCTGCTTCCAGTATCTTGGCTTGCCTGTACTTCCTGAGATCCTCTTGCAAAGCTGTTCTGCAACTGGTGTTGGCAATCAGTCGCTCGAGATGAGTTGCATTCGGATCCTGCCTCAATGATCTTCTTCTTTCGAGCAATTCCTTGGTGGTCTTCGAGATGCGGTCCAAGTTCTTCTCAGAAGTCACTGAGGCGCATTCTCCGCAGGCTCGCAATCCTTTCAGAAGCCGGTCGTAGTCGTACGTTGGGTCCTCCTCGATGGGCCAGTCACAACTTGATATGAGCTCTTCCAGCCTGTTACCGTCATAAACGACTTCCTTCCTTCTCGCGGCACTATGACAGACTTTCTTTTCCAGCCTTCGGCTGAGTCGTATCTTCGCTCGAAGGAGGCGGTGATCGGAGCCACTACAGAAGGATGGAACTACAGAGACATCGAGTAAGCTCCACCTTCGGTTGGTGAGAATGTGGTCGATCTCCGCGTGGGTCGTTCCGTTGGGCGATTCCCATGTCCACCGGCGATGTTCCTTCTTCATAAAGATGGAATTTCCATGGAAAAGTCGTGCGGCGGAGAGAAGCCCAACAAGACGGTTGCCGTTTTCGTTCCGGAGCCCATATCCAAACTTCCCGATCCTATATTCCCTTTCCAGTGGCATCCCGATTTTCGCGTTGAAGTCGCCCACAACAAACTTGTAAAAGGACTTCTCGTTGCGGACGACCTCCTCCACATCTTCGTAGAAAGCATCTAGTTCTGATTCGTCAGCTGCTGATGTTGGAGAATAGCAGTTGATGATGCTGATGGTCTTCTGATGTGGAGGTCGTAGTCGTAGGATGCCTAGTCGAGGTGATAGGATCTCGTGCGAATCGACAAGATGGACGATAGATGGGTGGACGACAAAGCCGACGCCTCCCACGTTTCGTGATGGAACCTTTTCACCACGAATGATGAGGGTCCCATCACTCATCTGTCGCACGTCCTTCTTCCTGGACTTCGTTTCCTGCAGAGCAATGATGTGGTAGTTGATGTGCTTTGCAGCGTCGAGAAGAGCGTGGAGGTCGGCGTTTGTGGAGACTGTCCTGGCGTTGTAGGTGCAGAGCATGAGGCAGTCTCCATGGCGTGTCGTCCGGGCAGACGTGTCGTTTTTGTCCAATCCGAAAGGCGCCCTGAGTACCCTGACATCGTTCTTGCTACCACCCGGCGCCGTAGGCGGGATCCGATGTACAGGGTTTTTTCTAAATCTTCTTGCTGTCTGAGTAATAAAATTTGTTCCCCTACAAGAGGTGGCTTACTAGGCCTACTCTTGATTTCCACGGGGTGATCGCTGACCCCTGGCTTGGAGCGGGGAGGGACCGCCTAGCGACCAGAAGAAGCCAGACGGCGGAGAATCTGGCGCGGCCAGTTCTTAGCTAGGCATCCGGCCGAAACCGGAAACGTCGAACTCCTTCGCAGCTTGGGAGGCCCTACCAGAGTATACACTCGGCTGTGCATCGCAGTTCGACACCCAGTGTCACCCCCACGCCACGATGAGGCGACCGACCATTGTGGGGGTATATGGCTAATACTATGAGATAATGCATGTTTAGCTGCTGCAATGAATCATTACTTTGGTGAGAAATGATGTGTATTCAAGAGAGATGATTTAGTTGCGCGAAGGACCAGCGTGAAACAGGCTGGCGTAGAGGTCTATATGTCGCCGAAAGTGGAAGAGTCTTGCGCGGACAATGCAGCAGATACTCAGCCTGTGCATGCATTAGGAGGTGTATTTGTCACAGATGTCCGGCGGGACCTCCCATTCTCGGCGACATATAGTCCCTACCCGATAAGCTGCTGAGTTATGGAAGCTGTGAGTAGCCGAGCTGCATATTTATTGGCGGCACGCTCGGATGTTTAGACCCTGTAGGACCTGGGTTAAGATAGACTGTTGGGTCGCTGGTAACATGGGAGAATTCGACCCGTCCTGTCCTTCTGTACTTTATAGGAGTTTGTTAGCCAGGTATTCTGTGCCATAAGGATAAATGTACAGGTATTCTGTGCCATAAGGATAAATTTATACCCTTTGCTTCAACCAGATGGGCGGCTGGAAGGCGGGAGTCCGTGACCTAATTATGGCTAGAAAATGATCCGAGAGCATGTTTGCGAGGGAGGCCCAGACTGCTCCGCGGACGCAAGCAGTCGCCTCTTATAAGACCTATAGGTCATGAAGCCTTTCAGCAGCCAATCTGGTTAAAGTAAAGGGTATGCTCTCGTCTGAGCTCTAGCCGCGCATAAATATCGGTAAGGGATAGCGATAGTAAGGGCAACGGCCGCTAAAGTTGCGGACCTTGTCGGTCTTACACTGTATTAGAGCCAAAGATCTACGATTTGAGCAGAAGCTGGCACAACGGACAAGTGGGGCCCCTTTAGGCCGTCAGTGTTAATATTGATAAAGGTCAAACTAATCTAAAACCGACCTACTTTGTAGGCGAAATTGCCAACACATACAAAGTGCTAAAGTTTTATACAATGTGAATCGCAAGGGAGGTTTTGTTTCAATTCTGTATTATCTCATCTCTCATCCTAACTTCCGTTTGCTAGGCTAAAATATATTCTTTCAGGAGGGCATGCATCTTTTCCATGAGAGAGATCTGAAGACTCTTGTCCCAGAAGGATACATTGCTGAACACAAACACGGGGTGAGAAGTGATATAGAATAGAAAAAGGAGAAAACATTTTATGTGATTTTCGTTTCATTTCTATTATTATACGGAAAATTAGGCAATTACTACCTTTGCGGAACCCATCAGCAGTGACAGAAACTTATAGCATAGAAGTCATTCTTCAATTTTGATTTTAATTTGGTGAAGATAGGTGAAGAGATGTTTGATGTATTTGATTTTTGATTATGTTGAAAAAAAGTTGCGTTTCAATTTCCGTTGGTCAATTCTCTTTTGGAACAATCTCCTCGGCAAGGAGAGGGAACTTTAGCAATCTACAAACATTTTGGAAGAAAAAAATTATGAAATTATCTTTTGTAGAGGGTAATCCTTCTTTTGCATAATGACTGATGAAAACATTGTTTTTTCTTCGTTTCATTTGGTAGAAATCACGAGAAATTTCTACAGTAAAAAATGAAGACGATTATGAATGGATCTGTGTGTATCCAGAGTCTCATAGGCAAAAACTTGACAGTCATATAGGAAAACGAGAGAGATGACTCCTGATTTTGCCTGGGGCACTGTAAAACCCATGCATCCATTCAGAATCGTCTTCATATTTGACTTTAAAAATTTTGCTTTGTTCAACTTTAGGATAAGTTTGTGAAGGGCTGCTGCTCAGACCACGCAATCACCTTTGGTCAAATGAGCTATAAAGATCTCAGACTGGCTGATTTTGGATCGTTGCATTGGAGCGTTTTTGGTATTGGAGGTAAGGTTTTATCTATCTCTTTTATCATTCAATTTATTTGTCCTATGCGCTAAATCAGATTGAAAAACGGGTGATTCTAGGCTTGGAGGAGGTCAACGCCAGTTATGCTATAGATCCCAAAGAATTTCTGCCAAAAACTACGCAAAGGCCGAAAGTCCTTCCTCCGAAGAAGTCTGCCAAGAGCGCTCTTGCAAAAGAAGTAAAACTAGTGCATACTGGAGAAAAAAGTAAAGTAGCACCAAAAAGATGAGCGCTTTCAATATAGATCTTTTTCTTTATGTAAACTTGCTTAATGTTGACAAACGGGAATGGAATCTGATGAATTGGTACAAATGTTACTATTACGATCGTGCTGTTACTTACTTTGTTTATGTAATAAAAGTTACTTTTATTCTGCTTCTTTAAGTGGCAACTCTCCTGAAGAGGGCTTTATGCAGCCGATCTGCGCGGCAATTGATATGAATAGGATTTGTTTAGTCGATGCATGTTTTATGTCCGCACAGATGGAGCTTATTGCATAACGTCCTCTAATCCACTTTTCCTACAGTGCTGGCCAAAACTATAGATCCACTATAAAAAACTGTCGTAGTTCATCTGCTTCTCAACGAATTGATCTGAGATTTGGTACAGTTGTGTGTTCAACAGGCATTCATCAGTGACCGGAGCGGATTCAGCTTTCGTTAGATTATTCAGGAAAAAAATTAAAAATTTCGAAAAAAGCAGGCTCGAAAGTTGGCCAAAACTATAGATCCACCCAAAATTTCTGCCTGCTAACGTGATCCTTAGCTTCCAAAATCTTTTGTGCATATACATAGTCGAAAGTCAAAGCAGTGGGTTTAGTTCAGCTGCGTCATACCTTTATAAGAAACGCTTATCTGCTTTTTTCCACTCAAAAACTGCTCTCATGCGTATTTTGTTCCCGAGAATGTGTTTTTATGAGGATTCCGCACTTTTTTGACTGGTTTGAAAGTGATAGGGCTCCATCTATCTTATAGATGCTTAGCAGCGTGAGCAGTAAAAAAAAATTCGGGTTTTCGTATCCAAAGCGCACCTGACACAGACATAACCGTAGGCCTGCGCTCGAATTTTTGCCTTCAAAATTGGTATCCGCTATTTTTATAAGCTCAAAATAATGTAGAAGCATTATTTAGCATTATTCACCTAAAAAGAAGTTTGTAAACTATAGTTACGATTGCTTGCGAAGTCGCACTTTAATTCTTTTTCAAAGCATAAGTCTTGCGGTGTGTTCGGCAATCTCAAAGTACTTACCAACTGGTACCTTCTTTGAATTTTGCCACTTTTTAGCTGCTAACTATTGAATACACCCTGCAATATATGTTGCCTTGTGATTCACATGAGCATTATGGTCAGAAGCAGAAATAACTTCAAGGCTTGTTGCAAATCACTTTTTGCAGGATGAAGTCCTCAATTAGCCTGCATACTAGGATTTGCAAAAACCTGCAATCACTGCATACGGACTCTCATACATACCAACAATGTATCTACTCCAGTTCACGCTCATGACAACGTTGCAGAAAGAGCTTGAAGGCATAAATTTGAACGCAGGCCTGCGGTTAGGTCTATGTCAGGTGCGCTTTAGATACGAAAACCCGAATTTTTTCCTGCTGCTCACGCTACTAAGCATCTATAAGATAGATGGAGCCCTATCACTTTCAAACCAGTCAAAAAAGTGCGGAATCCTCTACAAAAACACATTCTCGGGAACAAAATACGCATGAAAGCAGTTTTTAAGAGGAAAAAAGCAGATAAGCGTTTCTTATAAAGGTATGACGCAGCTGAACAAAAGCCACTGCTTCGACTTTCGACTATGTATATGCACAAAAGATTTTGGAAGCTAAGAGTCACGTTAGCAGACAAAAAATTTAGGTGGATCTATAGTTTTGGCCAGCCTTCGAGCCTGCTTTTTTCGAAATTTTTAATTTTTTTCCTGAATAATCTAACGAAAGCGGAATCCGCTCCGGTCACTGATGAATGCCTGTTGAACACACAACTGTACCAAATCTCAGATCAATTCGTTGAGAAGCAGATGAACTACGGCAGTTTTTTATAGTGGATCTATAGTTTTGGCCAGCACTGTAGAATAATATTCTGTTGAGCATCTATGAAGACTGAAGTGCTTACTGCGATGCATGTCGAGCTGTCCGCATCTCAGCAGAACGCAACCATTGTCTGCGTCAAGCATTCAGTCAAAACTTAGATAGATGTTGTAAAGTTATCAGATAGAGCCACTTTATTTCATGAGAACGAGTCTTTTGACAACATATTGATGAGCGATTTAGTGATTGCATGATAATCTGTTAGGAAAACTTCCCTCTAAATATCTCACATAGCGACGTCAAGTGAACAGAGATATGGAAATGAGATCTTTGATCGCTTATCGTTGCAAAATGAGCGTCGCAGTAAGTACTGTCTTTACTTGCAGTAAGTGATTACTACGAAACTAAACTCACGACATGGCGGTGAACTCACCGCAGACTTCTACCAGCTCAGAATGGATTTCTAACGGGGGGTGGTCTAGTAGTAAGTCCCGGTAGAACCTGATCGATGGAGAAACACGGGTTTGAGTACAAGAATTTATCCTTATGGCATAAAACCAAAACAGCAAGAACAGAACGCTATATACAACAACGGGGTTTTAACCGATTCGCCCTCTCAGCAGGGTCTCTATGCTATCTCTATTTTAAAGGCAGTGTCCGGGCAGAAACTCGACTTCTAAAAAATCAACTTATCTGGGGTTATCCGCAACGCTGAATCCGAAAATCCACATCAGAAGGCGCGAAAACGGCGAGAACATGCATTTTCCAAGTCCTCACATTTCGAAATTTGGGGATCCCCGCCAGGCTAAGACGCAGAGGTTGCAAAGAGCGCACGGTTTTTAACTGTGGCGGCATACGTACTCTGCCGTCTGGCAGGAATTCAAACAACTCGGAGGACCCCGCCCCAAGGCGTAAGTTTCCCCAATTTGCAATCGTTTTTCTTACTTTAGGTCGAACGTTTTATGCTCGCAGTTCCGCGATGTTGTGTCTCAGGGGGGCTACTTTCACATGGCAGAGAAATCTCAGAACCCCCATTTTGCCCGGGCACTGCCTTTAAAGGGAAGGTCCGCCTCTCTTCGACGGCTCTTTTAAACTCCCTGGAGCGCTCTCTTCACGCTCTGGCTGCTCCCCCCTATCCAACGGTATTTATACCCCACTGAGTGGTCGAATCGGCCTCTCCTTTCCCGCCAGTAATCATTGGTAGATCGGTGATCCGCGCCATAGATTATTGAAACACGGGAGTGTGAAAGTGAGCAAGTCTAGCTTGAACTACGAAGTTGAGCTGAAGTCAATTGTTTCGATAATCGTGCTTGTGAGAGATTCTATCACATTTGTAAACCAATCATTTGTCCATTACGTTGAAATGTCTGTCTTACAAGCGCTCGAAGTTACATGTTTCGCAATTGGTTGTGACAATGAAGGCTGCTTGATAGGGCACCAATGACTCTTAACAGGGACATGACAAAATTTATCAAAAGGAGAAGAATGAAAGCAAATAAAGTGGGAGGAAAGCACAGCATACTATCTATGTATATTATCAAAAGTGCAGAAACTTCAAAGGGCTTTGAGCTTGCAAGGATCTCTCCAGTTCTTGACTTTTTGGCATTGCTCCACAAAGAAGTTCATATTTTTACGCATACCACCTACAACAAGTTTTCAGTTTGATGTCGTAATTCTACTAATCCTGACAATACAAGGAAAATAAAGAAATCAACCTAGGATACCCGATGCAAATTCGGAATATTTGCAATAAAAGGAACGTCTGTTTCATGAAACTACTGACCCTCTTCGATCTGATCGATACAGAGCCTATGTCGACGTCTAAATCATCATTTAGGCCGTTTTTGGAGCTATCAACAGCGGAAAATGGCAAATAAAAATAACATGCAAGACTCCGTCTTTCTCAAGCATCGTATTGGAAAAACCAGAATAGGATCCTCAGTGATGACGAAAATGACCAGATTTTTTTCTCCGCTCATGATAAAGCGTTATCGCAGTATTTTGCAAAATCTTCTGCTGATGTTAAATTTGTCCTCCGCTAGAGATACTATCTTTTGAAGATCTACCTCTACCCGTGATCACGAGCAGTGAAGTACATAAGCGTCTGAAGACGGTCAAAGCTTCCATGTCTGTTACATCCGGAAAAATCCTAGCCTTTTTTATAAGAGATATGCTAAAGCGCTGGGTGTTCTTTTGTCCCACATTTTCAATATTTCTTTGATGACCGGCAATCTCAAAGCTTTGGAAACAAGCTATGATAGTCTCACAAGGGAACGATCCCAACTTTAGGTGGCGAATTGGTATGGTCCGCATATCATGAGATGCGTCTTGATGAGCTTATTCCAAATCTATTTTTCATATCTGCGACCCATTCTCTGCAAAAAGTTATAAGCAGTTGAAAATGTGAAGTCACTGGGATTTTAATGCTTAATGTCCTTCAAAATCCCACTTGGGAGTGTATGACTAACATGATACTGAGTGTACTGATTTCAAGAAACGCTCACATTCAAAAGAAACGCAAATAAGTGATTTGAACAACTAACTCTCGAGGTATGGCGCTTATTTGCCAAATTTGCACTTTTCATTGCTCATAGCTTTTACCAACGAACTTTGATTGCTTTTTATTGTTCAAAAATACTTATTTGTGTTTCTTTTGAATGTGAACATTTCTTGAAATAAATGCACTCAATATCATGCTAGTCATACACTCCCAAGTTGGATATTGAAGCACATTATGCATTGGAACCCCAGTGACTTCACATTTTCAACTGCTTATAACTTTTTGCAGAGAACGGCATCGCAGATATGAAAGGCAGATTTGAAATCAGCTCATCAAGACGCATCTAACGATGTGCGGTTCATACCTATTCGCCACCTTAAGTTGGGATCGTTCCCTTGTCAATACCCAAGCGCACGGGTGCTACTAAAGTTACTGAATTCAGTCTATTAGCATCTTACCGACTCCCTGCAAAAGAATGGGAAAAACTCTTGCCAAGTACCTTATATGGTGCCTTAACATGATTTTTTTCCTCCGCAGCATCTTTCAGTTTTTTTTTGTAGCGCACTTGTGCGCAGAAAACAAATAAATAATTAATGCTTTTGCTCACCAGTAACGTAGTAAGAAGTGCTCGCTTTGAAGTTGCAGTTTCCTTTGAGCTTGACGAGTTGCATTGGTATTTTGCGCGGAGTGGTGTCCTTGGGTAGAATTTTCATTACATTTTATTGGTTACAATTAGACTGGCAGAATTTACCGTGTAATTGTAATTAAAAAGGATAGCTTTTCCGGAATCGTTCGTGGTTTTGAGTCCTGGAAGCATTGAATATTTTTCGCTCGAAAGAGTGCAGCTGAAAAAATATGGCGAACATGACCGTTCTTAGTGTCCTTCCAACACCTTTAGCGGATGTTCAAGTATCATGTAGGGCTAAGTAAGGGGTCAACTTAAATTACCATAGAAAACAGATCAGCGGTCCCTCTCATGGCTATGAAATTTACAAGAAAAAACGAGAGAGTAAGAAAGCTGCAAACTTTGCCTTGGAATAAACTAGATCCACTCTTTCTACGAAATAGCACAATGTCTTACCGTAAACTCAAGCATTAAAGTTAGGCCAAGCATAGGGTAAGCGCAGTGTTCCCGACAATCATCAGAATTGAAATCATACCATCTAAACTTCTTTACAATTTAAAAGCTATGACCTGGAATAAACTTCTACGAAAGCCTTACCGAAAAGGATCTAAAGTAAGTGAAAAATTCGTACTATCACGTCGCCATGTTATACGTCTATTATTACCCTTTTGATGTAAGGCCCCGGACAGACTTCACGCGATTTGATCGTCGCGACTGAATCGCGACGAGACAACTGTTACAACATCATTCCATGCCGATCAACTTGCATTCGGTTGTGATACTTTTCCAGCCCGATTTTTTTGAATGTGAAATGAAAATGAATGGGTTGGCGATTGAATCGCGACGATCAAATCGCGTGAAGTCTGTCTGGGGCCTAAGATATTACAAAAACGTGACGACGGATTCCGCGGTCTTTCCGTGCGTCCAAATTTCACAGGGTCATATAAAACCCCGGGTACCACTCCACTGCACAGCTCAGTGCTCCTAGTAGCTGTCATCTGCATAAAAAAAATGCCCTGAAAATAGGCGGAAGCAAGGAAGACGCGGTCACGAACTGCGTACGCTACGCGCGACTACGCGCCATTGTCAAGATTCTATGATTCACCTATACATATGGGATCGTGCATGACGAAGTCGGAATATCTTTAGGCGCGAACGCGGCCTTATTAGCCGCAAAACGCGTGAGGCACAGGATTTACAAAGGTAAAGGCACACCTTTATCTTCGTAAATCCTGTGCCTAGTGCGCTCGCTCGCCTCATGCGAATAATGTTATACCAGCTGTCAAAAACAGCAATCCTGCAAATGTGTTCAATCAGACTGATGCGCTAAAATTTGTCAAATTTGAAAAAATGTAAATATTATGTACAAATAAAATAATTCTAAAGTCATCTTTTCCAACAAGCGTAAGAAATTCAGGACGACAGCAAAAATACGGGCAGAGTCCCGCCAAAACTCTTGTCGTAGCGGGCAGGAGGCACGCTCTGCCTTTACGGAGGTGGTGCAGGAGGAACCAAAGCCTTTGACCCCTGTATCCAAGAGGGAATGGGGAAGGCAGAGGAGGCTCCGCCCATCGCTCCGCCCACGGGATGCTCTCATTGTGTGTTGAGCAAGAATGGTGGATGAACTACCAGATATTGATCACTTCTGATCGACTAAAAGGTTAAACTACTCAGACACTTTTTCCGACGGCCCGCGCGCTTTCATGAGCCTACCGTGCGAGCGGCGCGCCTAGATTTGTGTGCGTGGCCTCGTTTCCGACGGGCGGCGCGCCATCGAAACCTGCCGTGCGAGCGGCGCGCCTTGCCTTCGACGGGCGGCGCGCCATCTTGAGTGACCGGGCGAGCGGCGCGCCATCAACAAATATGTAAGAACAACGAACATGTAACTTAACAAGACGCGTAAGCATCATTTTGAATTCGTTGTTAGCCGTAGGAGGTTGCATTTTTTATCGCATCGTTGGTTGCTTGTCCGTTTTGCCGGCTAATCGTCTCCATTCTCTGTAAGTTTTTTCTGGTTCACATGTGTACAGCCATTGTCATCCATGTGTTCCCTATTCCGTAGCATCTTAGCGTCCGTATTGCGTCCGCTATTCGGCTATCCGGGCCCCAAATTTTTTTTGTCATGGATTTCGCTCAAACTTGGCCTAGAGGAGTTATCTGAGGCGCTGATCACGAATATCACCTTTTCACCGCAGGAAAACGCCTCCATGCACGGTTACGGTTGGTATACGGTAGGGGGCCAACATCATAGATTTGCCCGAAACTTGGCCTAGAGGGGTTATTCGGCCCGCTGATGCTGAATATCACATCTGGAGGAACACAAACGTATGCGAAGCCTAGACCCCTTTTTCCACCATGTCTCACTGGATATGTTTGTTATCTGGTTTTATTAGCTCTAGTAGTTTCGTTTTCAGTAGAGACTTTTGTGGAAAATATTGTCGAAGACGAAGCGGCACCCTCAGATATCCAGATGGAATTCGAAGTTCCACAAGGTTCATAGCTTTTGCTTTTTTTCCTTTCTGTTATGTTTCCTAGACTTTGTTTTTCAGGTAACTTGTACGAAAGACGCGAGTTTCACGTTGAAACTCCCCTACGAGGAGTTCAGCCTCTTCCGTTGCCTAGATCACTTCATGAATGCGTTGAGAACGGAATCTTGCACATTGACAGGGCAGCCCGTTTAATTTTATCGAAGATGCATCGCCAAGAGTTTAACGTTTGAATTGCATGGTAGGATCGGACATCCACTCGCTATGGCATATTGCTAATCGCATGACAGTACGGCTGCACATTCTGGGATGTCATATATGCTTTGACTTGCTCAACCTTATTTAGGCCGAGATTTCGAGAGCTGTAACAGCAAAAAGTGTTCGGAATTGAAAGCAGCGAAAGAGCGACGCTACCACGTGACTTATGCGTACCAGGACGTGACGGCTGCATATCTGTGGACAACTGTGTCAAATTTTGGCAAATTCAGGCGAACCCGCCCTTCAAAAAGGTTTCTCATTCATGTTTGGATTACAATAAAACGACAATAATTCAGTGAACGCTTTAGCTGGATCTCACAAATGTCTGTAAAGATTGGCAGGGAAGTTCGAGGCACAACACCTTTCAACAGTTATGTTCATTGTACCGTTTTTTATCACAGAGGGTGAGTCATGATGTATGCAAACACCTCATTTACATAAGGAGTTCTTAAATGACGGAGCCTGCCGACGAAATCAAAAACTACTCCATTCGCCTAAACCAAAATGCTGGACGGGATGAAGAGTTGCTCAATCTACCAGAAGAAATAGAAGGGATGCTTAGAGGTCAATAAAAGGAACACTTTTGGAGAAATAATCACTTTCAATGGACGTTTCCAGACTTCGGTAAAGACATGATGGGGTTCGGGTACGAGCAATTAGATCAGTGGAATAACCTGGATTTGAATTAGTCTTTGTGAGTGACTAAAACAGGATTCGCAAAAACCAAAAAATTTGCGTTGCAGATTTTACAGAAACCTTGGAAATACCGAAAAGGAAAGAATTGAAGCGCTGGCTGAGCTCAGACAACAGCGCCAAGATTGGCGACCTCAACTATTCAAATCTCTCCAAAGCTCTGTAAGTCCAAAGATTTTTTACAAATTTCACAGTGATTGAGAATATGATTTCAGACGAGATATAAGGTCCTACAATTGCGAGTCAGGAAAATGGATAGCCAATAAGGTGAGAATTTGTGCATACTTAAATAATGATCTGACACTTCTTTCAGCGCAAGAAGCATGCCGCACCAGCCGGAGAGAAGGAAGTTACTGACCGAAAAAGGATTTAGCAGCACCTCAATCATCAGCTAACGCCTGTCAACATCTGCGCAATTTCCTTTCCAACGTCTCCTCCAGAAAAAAATTGATTTGTCTAGGTTTTTCTTTTTGTGTTTTCTTTACAAGTATTGTTCAGTGTCTTATCTTTAGTGTTTCATCTTTCGTAATATAATGGTACCTTGCTTTAACCTTTCATCAAGATCTCCGTGTTCACTGCCTCAGTGTCATGATTCTGACAGGATTCCGGTTTTTTTGCTCAATCAGGTCATTCTTACCGGTGTCTATCAGTGCTTTTTCAGTATCAGCATGGTTGTTATGTTTTACGTGTATTCAATAGGGGCTTAGCGTAAAAGGCATTGATGATATTATAGTTGTTGCCTGTTGTGTTCTGCTTTTGATTCTGTATTATGTCTTTCTGTAAGTCTTTGGATAATAAATCTGCCATAATCATACCTGTACACATGTTTGGCAATAAATCTGAGGGTATGAGGTCGTATTTCAATGGCAAAATATGAAGTTTATCAAAGGATTGCTATCTGTATCACAATAGGGTCCTACAACGCTTTCGAAGGAGCGGGCGAGCGGCGCGCCTTTAGCGAGCGAGCCGCGTACCTTCATTCCACGGGCGGCGGGAGGCATGAGCGCTCGCACGCTCAAGGCGCGCGGGCCGTCGGAAAAAGTGTCTGAGTATGAATTGGAACTTGAAAAAGGGACAGCAAAGATTCTCAAACAGGTTTTCAGGTACCAGGACGATAATAAAACTAGTATCATGTCATAAACCTAATATATGAATAGAGTAATCATCTTTCTAAGGGCCGCATGCACTAACATTTCCGCTAGGGAGGAGATCGCAGCTTCAGAAGAAAGCTTCATTTCCTGAAGCTAGGGATATCTGGATTTCACGCTGTCTACCTGTCCGTAAGTACTCCCACTATCCTTCTCTATGAAAATATTGAGCAGAAGCGAGAAGCCGTACAAGCCGCATTTCCCAGCTTTTTGTAGGATCCCCTGATGGTCCCTGGGGACGAACATCTATTCTTCAAAGTCATTTTTCTTTCTCCGAAGTTAACGAAAACCTTCCAAAGTTGTACTGAACATCCAACACAACTGTGCTAAGCATGTTGCTGATGAGAACAAATGAATTTTTGAATAATCGAATTTTTCGGTATACCCCAAATTTCGACCTGTGGACCATCGAAAATTTCATGACTTCAAAACATCATTTGTTCTCATTAGCAACATGCTTAGCACTGTTGTGTTAGATGTTCAGTATAACTTTGGAAGGTCTTCGTTAACTTCGGAGAAAGAAAAATGACTTCAAAGAAAAGCGCCGGGGATCATCAGGGATCATACTAAAGCTGGAAAATGCGGTTTGTACAACTTCTCGCTCCTGTTCAACATGTTTATAGTGAAGGGTAGTAGGAATACTTACGGATAGGCACACAACGTGAAATCCAAGTATCTGGAGTTTCGAAATATGAAGCTTTCTTTTAAGCTGCGATCCCCTCCCCGCGGCCATGTTAGTGCATGCGGCCCAAAGAGTCAATGTATGGAACACTACTACCATTAAATTGTTTTCAAATTTTGTTCGGAATTGAAATGTTGATACAAAGCCTAGAAAATGACCAGAAAAAAGATTGATTCAAAGCAGGAGAACAAGCCGAAAATGAAGTTTCAGAGTGGTTCTAGTAATAACTTTAACAAAGAGACTAAGAAATTCTGGATACTCAGATCCAAGAAGGACGTAAATTGCAAATGCGTAATCATTGTTATGTCTGAGAGAAGGCTCAGTAAATCACAGCTCAGATTTGAAGTGCGAACCTAACCTGGACAACCTTTACCCCGTTGGCAGTTGTCGAGGAATTAAATTAGAAATCTTTACGCTGCTGGCAGTTAACGAGGGATAGAATAAAAGAAGTGGGACAATTTCTGATATAAATAGGGGAAAACCCACGAAAAAGTTACTAGACTCAACATGTCGTGTCTAATGCTAGCTTCCCTTTCTTCTCACCCAGCGATTTTCCTGCTGATCTTTTACAAAACATAAGTCAGACTTACATGACAGCAATAAAAATTGCATTTACTATGACTTTAGAATTCCGACAGTGAACAGTTATTGTACAGTGACTGGACGGAAATAGTATCAACATTCGTGCCCGACAACTATTATCTCCAGCAAGATCATGGATATGAAGTAACAATTGAATTAAGTTTGTAACGCATACGGAATTTAGTTTTAGTTCGGCACGATGTCCTCCCAAACAAACCAAGTGCAGCCACAACAAACACAGAATCAGGTTTTTCATTTTGCAGAGATATTCTTGTAAAAGCGCTGGTTTAGTTCCATGAGCGATCGTCGCCAAACCAATCGTATTTGTTCAAGGCTATGCAAATGAGGTTCACTTTTATTACTCAAAAACATTGCATAAAGCTCATATTTAGTTTTTCGCCACACCACCAGCAACACAACCTTACGCAATCCAGCAGGGCTATGAAAATGAGGTGTAAAAGCAAGAAACTAGTCTTGAGTAATTAGAAAATTAGTTTCAGGTGTATATGCAGCCGCCTTCCACTCAATCGCTCCCGCGTCATACATTTGGAGACCAAGTATCACTTGAAAATTCGATTTCTGATTCCAAATGATTTCTTCTTCAGCTGTATACGTATCCATCGTCTAACGACGATGCCGCAACAACATTCGATGCAGCCACGTCACATGCAAAGTATTGGAAGTCAGGTATGAGCTAATACTCAAAGCATATACTTTGACTAGAGTTCTAGGTACTCGCACAACCGTTCCAGCACCAGAAAGAGCGCCACTCGCAACATCTACAAACATTATCAGATACTCTGACTTCTGGAAACGTAAGCAATTCTAGCAATGCGGAATCGCCTACTTTTCCGGGAGTCAGAGAGGTAAGTCAGAAGGGAGGGAGTACACAGAGTAATCGTTTATGAAATTCCAGGCAGCATCCGATCGTACGTCTTCATGTACAAGAACAAGAAGGCGCGGTCGGACATCGCCCGGTACATTTGTGTACATTGCAAAAAGGCAAATAAATATACGGCGATTTTGGTATGTCTATACGAAGGTCGTTGCAAATGTTTCCGACCTTTTGCTTTCAGGTAAGCGGAGACATGTTTCTGGAAGATCCAGTTATGCTCCGCCATACATGTATATCAGTCGAAAGAAATAAGGACAAAGCCGATAGGCTTTCCTACGAGATGTGCAGTCTGTCTTAACAAACAAAAAAACTCAAGAGTGAATTTCAGTGTCTACAGCAAGTGCGCGGGAACCCTGAAGCGACTCTGCATCCAACAATAAACCATTGGCTTACAGTTTTCGACAAAATCGAAACTATGACTTGGGGAGGTAGTGAGTATTCGCCTTCGTTCTCTGAGCATTCAGCAATCTACAGATGCCGAGAAGAGGAACCGTGATGGCGCATTATATGAAGAAAAATGGATATGAAAGCAGACGACACGCTTACAATAGGTTAGAAGGATTGGAGTCATTTAAAAATCACATTGCACCCAATCCCGCTGCAAATATTGTTCTAGAGCTGTCAACAGAACGGTGCGGGAAGTTACGATGACAATGTCCCTGAGGTGCTGCGCAACCTGCCGGATGGAAGCACGTTCTTGCAAGTGCAAGACCCAAGTCTGCATATCTATATGTCGCAGACTATCAGGGTCAGTTTTGCACATAGAAATTATGAAGATAGTTTTTCTCGTTTCTAGCGTGCTGTTTCGCACGATCTTTTCGCGCTCGTTGGAGATGGCATCCACAAGATTAATCCTCGAAGTCGACGTGGAGCTGCAGTACGCGTGGACGGGGGGCAAGTGTACACGGTGCATGGGATTTGCCGAGGGGGATTCGAGGTGCCGCTGCTCCTTGCCGTCACACAGAACAAACGCGAAGAAGATTACGTCATCATCTTCAACAAGTTGAAAGCCGCGATGGAAGAGGCGATAGAGGGATTGAGTCTGACGGAACCACGACTAAGAGTCGTCCTGGATTTCGAACAGGCTGCGATTAATGCCGCAAGGAGAATTTTTCCAAATGCCTCCGTGGAGGGATGCGCATGGCATCTAAGCCAGGCCTGGGTGAGGAGACGGAATACCCTTGGAATTCTTCGCTTCCTGAAAGGTTCTGAAAGATGCGGAAGCGTTGTCCAATGGTGGAGAACGTTGAAAGGGCTTCCATTTCTCCCCACGGAATACTTCCACCACGTCGAAGCGATGAGGAGGCCACCCGTAGAGCGCGAACATCCTGCGTACGGGCCGTGCAAGAAGTTTTCAAACTACTTGCGGAACACCTGGCTCGAGGGGCCATTCAAGACAATGTGGTGCAAGTATATGGTAGATGTCCAGCGAACAACCAACACTGCCGAGAACTACCACGGGTGAGTTTGCAGCTCTTGCAATTGACTTTTTTTTATTGAAGTTTCTCATTTCAGAAGGCTCAGGAAAATTCTCGGCAAGAAACATCCACCCCTAGCGCAGCTGATACTGGCCTTCCGCAGCTTTACACTAGTGGCAAAGGGGACTTTGGCAAGAATGGAATTGAGGAGGAGCGAGCCCAAGATGCTTAGAAAAAGGGACAGGATAAGAAGGGAGAAGGGTGAAGGCGCCATGGCCTCATTTGCGACACTTCGTTGTGAAAATCTCCTCGATACCGTCACGGTGGAGGAGTATCTACGAAGAATGTCCAAGTATACATCGGACAAGGCAATCTAAGAGGCTGCGATGGATTTTTTGTGTTTGTTAGTGATGCTTGATGCATGTAATGTTATGTGACACGTCAGAAGCTGTTTGCATGCTAACTCGAACCTTAGAGATGTTTGGTTTGGTGTAATGCATGCTAAGTCAGATTTAGAGTATATATCAGAGTATTGCAAGCTTGCTTTATGTACAGAGATAATGTTTTAGGAGAATGCATGACTAGTCTTAGTGGCAGACTTACTTAACACGCACTTACTAATAACTGTTATAACAGACAAGTTTTGATGATTTTGGACCGTTTTGGATGGCTTTTTGGACGAGTCTGATTTTGCAATTTGAATATTTCTGATCAATGATTTGACATCTACTTTCGCAAATTTAACTTTTTGAAACACGGCTTTTATAAGGTCTCTTTTGCGCATTTTTCTTAATCTCCCCCCCCCGAGTAAAATATTTATTAGAGTTAATACAAAGAATAAAGATTCTTTCACTTGAATTGTGACATTCTTCACTCATCAGACGACTGGCTTGCTTCTGCAAAGGTCAACTAATCTGCTATCGATTAGCGCAAATGCAACTATTACAGTGAGTATTGTGAAAGATTGAGAAAGTTATCTCATGAAAATAAACAATATGAAATAGGAAGTTTTCTGCGAAGCTATTCAAGTTGGAACAAAACTTAGAATGTCAAAAGAGGAGTTTATAATTTGGAATCGAGCCGGAACTCTTACCTCTCTGAAAGTTGTTCATCAAATTTCCAATCTTTGTACTTGTTCTTTTCTGTTCTCTCAACAGGACTTCGATTCATATATGTGGAATCAATAGTATCTTCGATATGGTATATTCTGTTGTTATTCCATACTAGCTGCGGTCCCCGGTCCCGCCCGGGCCGAGAGTCCAGAATGGCCCATCATAGGGTGTGCTTCAAGATGTATACTTACCAGTCCTCCACTTTCTTCAGTTCACATCTTCTGTGACTCTCCTGCTTCACCTCCTTGTCAGTTCCAGCGCTCGTGTAGTATCCGTGGTGAATAGTCTTCTTTCTTGACCGGCTCGCTTCATGACACCGCATGCTCCTTACCGCAAAATGTAAATGATCTCTACCACCCCTTACTACTTAAGTTGGAGAAATGAATGGTATAGCCTTCATTTTCCTAGATTTTAGTAAACAAAATCAATAAATCGATAGAAGGACCCAGCGAATTGTCGAAAAAAGTAGCCTACCTGATGCGCCATGTCTCATTTATAGGGAAACAGAATTCAGCCTCTTTGGTTCACATACAAAGGAGTCTATAAGCCACAAACATCCTAGCAAACACGGTACAGTGTTTGAGTTTTATTATGACTTATAATAAGCGGCTTAATCTGAAGTTGTGTGGAGTTTGTCCGTTACGGCATTACAGTGAGGAATGATTTACGATACTAAACATCATGTGAGGTTAAGATAGCGAGTATGGTTCATTTTTTACTACGGCTCACGTTGCAATAAACCGAAAAATGATTTGAGAGACAAGCTCTCAGAAAGTGAGTTTACCACGGTTCACGATGCCAGTGCGAACCTCTGCGAAGTAGAGGTGAAGCACTGGTATATATATAGATTCCATAAAGTATAAGACAATATGCCAAGAATGCCGACGAATACCAAGAGGAAAATGAAATTACTTGCAAGATTTCACGCTTATATAGACACTTCATCGGCATTTATCATTATCACTCGAAAAGTTGGTTTAACATCATTCTTCGGCGAGAGTGGTGCAAAATAAAAGAATGTAGAATTGGATCGGTGTGAAAACATACAAAAGTCCATTCAAAAGATTCGCCTTTCAAAACTAGTCACAAATTTGTTTTCCCCTTCTTTGTATCTCCACTCCAAGTCTAACTAGACTTTTCCTTCAACGAATTCCTGGGCAAAAAAGGCAAAACCCAGGCTCAGCGTAAGGGGCGGAGCTTGGAAGGTTGCCAGATCCTTCTTGGCACGCAGCCAGCTCCTCCCCTTTCCATCTTGGATACAGAGGTCAATGGCTCTGGTTCCTCCTGCACCGCCGCCCATATTTACACGGGCGGTGGGAAGCGCGCGCCGCCTGCGTGCGTCGTGTCCGCGCCGCTCAACTATTAGACTGGGTTCCCGAAGTTCCGGAACAGTTCTAGCACAGTGCAAGAACTGTGCTGGGACTGTTCCGGAGTATGAACTCAGCCTTGCTACTTCTGCTGTAAGGCTGAGTTCATATTCCTTCGCCTTGCAGTAGCCTTTACTTACGGATGCATGACGGCTGCACTTTCGACTCGTGGCCGTCGCACAGGGTGACGATGGTCGTCCACAGGGCAAGAAGAAGCACGATCATCCTACAATTATCAGCGAATGTAAGCATTCGTTGCATAAAACGAGCTTTTTACGGGTTTCGGGTATAGAGAGTGCTGCTTTCAGGTTTGATGTCATTCTAGGAAAAGCATTTTAATCAAACAGATGCGAGTTGCAATGGTTATTAAGAGTTCAGTAAAAAGTCCGGCAGCAACAAGTCGATTTGTATGCTTAAAACTTCAAAATCTGCTGCCCCGTACATACTTCAAGCGATTTCAGTCACTGGGCGATCTGGCAGTACTCCAATCATTCATAGCTTATCGTAAGCACTTTATAAAAGTACCAGGTATGCTGTCTAAGTTTTGTAAAGGCTGTGTTTTTTTTGTTTTCTCCGTCGCAAGCAACTCGTGGGAATGCATCTTGTTCTCATAGCGAAATGATTGGTTGTAGAGCGAGGGCGGCCCACATTCACAGTTATGCAACGTAGAACTACGTTCCCCGAGCCTACGCCTTCCTTGAAGATGGAAGTCCATTTCTTCAACAGAAATGAGATTATTCAGTTGTACTTTTCACCAACTACAATCAGGGTGAGTTAAATAGAATACAAGTTCTGGTTTTGCATTTCCATTAGTGCGGGAGAATTACCTTTACCTCCTCCTCAGCATTGTGTTGCTATGACGGAACTCTTTTCATAACTTTCCCGACCGCCATCTTTCATAAGCCATCGTGTGTAGAAAACGCTTCTCATGCTTTTATCTACTTTTTATCTGTATAATTATGGAGGTGGGCCAGGGCCCGGCACGGGTTGGTTTGGAGGTTTTTAGGAAACGAAGTTCCCCATGACTTCGCGAAAATTTACGAAGTCCCTCTCGACGTGAAAATCAGTAGGGAAGCCCTTATTCAACCAAAATAGCAACAAAAAAGCGAAAAAAGCGCATTTTGAAGTATGTAATATAACAAAAAAGCAGAAAGAAAACATTTCGAGTTGATCAAGGCAGGGTTCATACTGAGCAGCACAAAGCGGCACAGTTCGAGCACAGTTCGAGCACAGTTCGAGCGCTGTGCGGGAATTGTGCCGCCTCACTATGAACCCTGCCTAAAGGCTCTGCCATCGGGTATAGTACCATTTTGATGCTGGGAATGTCGAGAATCTCCTAGGCCAACCAAATCTGTAGCCTCAACAATCCTGCGATGCATTTTTCGCCACATATTTCAAAGGACACTGCAAGTGATTGGAGCGCGATATCTATCAACGCGTAGAATTATACTACTTTTGACTCAAAAAAAGGGGAGAGGCAACGGTTTGATCCGCTCTCTTCACTATATGATAGGTTTTTGACCGTTCTAATCGTTCAAATCAAAAAGGTCCAAAACTTATGTGAACTCTCCGATATTTATGCTCCGGACCAACCCAGTTGGTTTGGTAGTTGGTCTAGAAACCAACAAATTCGAGAACGGATATTAGGACACATAAGTTTTGGGAACTTTTTACATAACATAGTTTGGAGTAATATTGTATACTCGTAGCGCAAATTCGAAATTCGCAAATTTGTGCGCTGTAAACAAGCCATTTGTTTGCTTGAGTCTTGCATTCGAATTTCGCGCGCTTGCGAAAAAACACGTTCAACCCGTGAAACCTGACATGTTCGTCGTGTTTTTTGGCGCTTCCTCTAGGACCTCATAAAAACGATGTCCCCGTTGCTTCTAACTCCAAAAACGAAGTCCAGTTTGACCCTAAACCATCGGTGGCGGGCCCTGAGGTGGGCTGGTATCCCAGTTAGCTCTTCTATTTTCAGCCGAGTAGCGAAGGGCAACCGTGCAAGAGCATAATTGGAAGCGATGCTTGCTCAATGCCCAGGTAAGCTAGTCTTATATTGATTGCGCATGTTCTTTGTGTATTTGAGAGTATATGATTGAAATTAAGTTCAAAGCAAATATCTTTCTCCCGTCACCAAACTTTCATTTGCTCATGCTTGACGGACTTACTGAGATCCAACGATGCTATTTTCTAGATCCAACGAGAACACTAGAAATATTAGGTCACTTCATTTACACCTGCTGTAGTGTGGCTAGTACTCAAAATGAAAGATTTAATATTTAGGGAATTGCCTCATTATTATCACACCAGTGCGTCACCTCTGCTTCGCAGAGGCTCGCACTGGCTCTACTATCCACATGTCTTCCTCGTAGTCGCAAAATGATGGCTTTGAAACTTACCTCGCGATGCCGATCATCACGAATGAAATGTAAACAGCTACTCATTCCAAAAGTTTTTCATGTAAGATCGGTGATTTTGAAAGGGCGAAAGTATTCTCCAAAGATTAAATGCGAATTTGAATCAGTCACTGGGATTATAATGGCTTGATAGTCGCCATAAAGATGATGACAACCGTGAGTTACATCTCTGAGCAAAAATTTTCTCACATTCAAAGATAAAGCCTTGACAAATCAATCATCTGCGCAGTTATTCCTTTTTGGCGCCGATCTTGCATGAAACTAAACTTTTTGCTCACTTTTTGGGCTGGAGTCCATGGTTTGCGGATTTACTTGCTAAACGAAACCATGATTTTGAAAAAAGCACATTTACAGGCCCACTTTGGCGCGCGAAATGTTGCGTGGATCCGTTTGGCGCGCTATTTCACAGGTTCCAGTAGTCGGATCGGCTTGTGCTTTTGCACATTTTACCTGTATGCTGATAGGGTGCTACTACCAAAATTCTAGCTCAGGACCTTTGATGGAACTCACTCTACGAATTTCGTGACAGACAGAAATTCACACACACACACACAAACGTAAACAACCCTTAGCCCGTTATTATAAGTTACCAGTGCGTCACCTCTGCCTCGCAGAGGCTCGCACTGGCTCTACTATCTATGTGCCTTACTCATTCTCGTAAAATCGTGGCACTGGAACTCACCGTGCTATGCCGACTACCACGAATGAAATGTAAACAACTACTCATTCAGAAAGCTTTTTCACGTGAGATCAGTGATTTCGCATGGAAAAAACTTTTCGCAGGAAGACAAAGGCAAACTCGAATAGGTTTTTGAATTTGTCATGTCATGGTATGATAGTCGCCATAAAGGCAATAGTCACCGTGAGCTACATCTCTATGCGAAAATCTTCTCAAATGCTTTTCTAGAACCTTGGCAAATTGACCATTTACGCAAGCAATACTTTTTGGCGCCGTTTTTGTAAAGTAATGGACTTTTGGTCACTTATTTGAGCCTAAGTTCATGGCTTGCACATTTACTTGCCATAAACACCCAGCACTCTGCAAAAAGTGGAATTACGGACCCAATTTTGTGGGCCAAATGCAAAGTGGATCCGTTTGACGCGCAATTTTCAAGAGACCCACTCAATGAATCTGCTTGTAATTTTGCATGTTGGACTTTCATGCCATTAGCAAGTGCTATGCAAAATTTGAGCCCAGGACGTTGGCTGGAACACGCTCTACGAATTTCGTGACAGACAGACATTCAGACAGACAGACACACAAAAACACGTAAACACTCTTAGCGCGTTATTATAGTAGGATGATAGAAGATAGAGCATTTTATCAACCTACGAAAGTTTTACACATTATACCTTTGTAGTCTCTCAGTGTGCCAGGAACTGAGGACATCTGGCAATTTTCCAAATCGCGTGGCACTAAAATTCCGTTAAGTATGGCCGGGCGTTATGATTTAGAAATCTAGGTATGACAGACTTAATGTTGCTTCACAATCACAGAAAGCTTTTGGAAACAAAAAAAATGGAAAGAAATGGAACCATCATACGAGCCCAGGTTTATGATAAAGGTAAACTCCTGAAAACATTTGTCATAACACCCTTTCACAAGAAATGAAATTTCTAACAAGTATCATTATAATATTATCAAGTATACTTGTGTTGTTTCCTTTGAAAATTTTGTTTGCTACTTTGATGCTACAGTATCAAGATAAGGTGGATGTGCTAGTACATGGTTGGATTTGCGATACAATCACATCTATGAAAGGCGGACAAAATTTGAGCATGAAACGAAATGCTCTCCTTATATTTGTCTCCCTCCCTCACTACTGCAAGGGCAAATTCTGATTTGCATCCAATAGCTGAGTATACAATGGCCATGTAAAAAAAAAAACCGCAGTCTGCAAGCGCTGTCGTTTGGAATTTTAGCAAGGAAAAGAGAAATGCACTATTGAATTGTAAAGGGATTTATATCAATAGTATTTATTTTTTGTCTACACCCAGAACGAGTCGTTAATGGCTGAAGGTACATAGCAAAAGTATCATCTGCAACAGGCACCAGTGAAAACGATAATGAATCTTTTATTGATAAGTTATGTATCAGAGGAATAACTGTAATTCTTAATTTCAGCGCATAAAATCATAGCTATTGTTCCAGTTTCTTAATAGCCTTTAGTACATTTCGAGAGCTAGGCCTCTTGTCGCGTTCGGACCAACAGGATTGAAGGATCTAAAGCAGTGAAATTATAAGTACTTCTTTTCTTTTTTTTCCTCACATTGCGTACTCATTTCTTCTCCTCGTCCTCATTTCCAATTTTGGTGGCAAAGAGCTTACCTCAAGCATCCCCTTGGGTAGTAAGTCTCCTATAATGTCCAGTTCGCATGTCTTACGGTATTCTCTTCCACGAATTTCGTTTACGGTTTCATTTTCAAACGGTATGGCGGCTAGAATAATCAAGTACTTACTTAATTCTTGGATCGTGGATTGTAGTAACTAATGGTCAATTACTGATTTTTACTTTTTCACGTGTGTAGAATGTCCCTATAGCGCACAATCGATTTAATGCAGACTCGGACCGCTGGATTAAACTAACTATAGGCGATTCATCGCACGCAAAGATTGCGGACGTATCAGCGTCCCTCTGATCAAGCGCTCTTTCGTTTCTCTAACCATCTGCCGTCTCTTCCAAGCACGAACTATCTTGGTCGGACGCAACGGCGCCCAGTCTTTGCGTCTTATGAAATAGCGGACAACTAACTAGAGTCACTATCTAGAGTTGAAGGGCAGCGTCCAGGCAAATATAGACCTAAGGGTTCGCTTGAGATATTCCCCTCAAAACTGGATCCCGAGGTCGTAATCGCATGGATTCATGGCGCAACCCGTCAGTTTCGCGCGAGGACCCACGCGTTACGCCATGAATCAATGGGGATACGATCCTGGGATCCACTTTCCAAGGGATCTCAGCCGTTAGAGCACTACCCGAGCTGCCGGTTGGGCAGTGTCTTACAATTAGTTAAAGGGCACCGTTCACCCAGATTCTCGACTCCCAGGTTTTTGTCGTTTCAGGGTCTTCTCATGTTCCTGATTCCAAATATGATGTCGAAAATACGCGAAAACCCCGACAATCCCCATTCCGGAGAACCCACAGGCCGGCTTTCCAGAACGTGATTGGATAGCGCGCACAAAAGGGCGGGCATGGAGAGGGAGGCGCGGGCATGGATGGGGGTCCCCATGCATCTTCGCTATTCCGAAGGGATTTTCTCGCTTCCGAAGCGGCATGTTGCGCCGAGACTTGGGCATTGGCTTGATAGGAGGCCCTACTGTTATATGCTCCAAAAGCTCAACGCCCTCAACTTAGGGTGGACGGTGCCTTTAAAGCCTCAAAATTCTATCCACGTGACGTCCCCATATGTCCAGATTTGCCTGGAGGCTTTCTTTAGCGTAACTGCCACTGACACGGTCACAGCATTAGTTTATTACATGTATCTTGGGTAACGGACGACTCGTTCATATCTTTCTACTCGTTCAGCGGAAAGCTATAAACTAACCATGATGGAACATGCTCCACAGGATAGTAGCCAGGGTCCAGATGACTGCTTTACAGTCATATGGTTCTGGTTTAGTGCCATCCTTGCTATTCAAACATTCCCATGGAATCCACCTAGAAGGTATATTAAAACGCCTGGACTGGGTGACTATTTTGATCAGGCACCAAAGAAATCAAAATCCTACCTGCATCTGTCTACATCAGTAAGATAAACTCGCTTAGGAAAAAGACCAGTCGACAGCCCGAAAACCACCACCTAAGCTATCACCAATCAATCAAATTCAAAATTATGATCGGCTTACTTTCACAGTGTTGTCCGCGGTCAGTAGACAAACGTCCAAAGAAAGCTTTTTATGGACAAACTTCGCTCTTTCAAAATAGTCAGCTGCTGTAGCTATTTGTCGTGCAAACTTCAACAGCTAGAAATCAAAAGTTTCAGATACGTTTACTCCTAGTGTTTCTTCAGACCTCTGCATTGCTTCTTTGTTCCGCGCTCACATAGCTTGCTAAACTTTGAATCGCAGAATTTTCAAGAAGTATGGTTATCTGACTAGTGGTCACGATGCTGCCCCACAGGCGTTGTGTATTTCTGATAACAACAAGTTCGGCTTAAAAATCAGATATATAAAGTTAGGTTATAAAGAGATTCTGGTGCGAGTACTTGCAATTTTGGCGCCTCTGAGTCCGCGGCAAAAGCATTAGCCAGCGATGTAATCCTATCTACAAAAACTTACAAACAGCCAAAATCCTTGTATGTGCAGAGATCATTGATGATCACATTTCGCTCTTCAGGTTTCAAATTTGCGACGACTATCGCCATTGCTAATATTCCCTTGTTTGAGGGAAATCGGATCTGTCGTCGCTTCACTTTGCCCACTTCAAAAATGCCATCGAAAGGAAATTCTAGGTTTTCGACGGGTGGTCCGAGCTGCAAAAAATAAATATTGATAATCAATACAGACTTCTTTGCGAAAACAGCAGAACTCCTGCGTGTTCTACGCCGCAACTCACGGCCTTAGCGACCGTGCCGCCCCACTACGCAATTGCCATCACAGTCACTACCACTTTTGAGATAGGTAGCATACGAACCTGATCCTCACGGTAAACGTATTGTCGTTGCACAGGCTGCAAGCCTTCTTCAGCTATAAATTTATACAATTTTTTCGCTAAGTTGGTCACTATCAGCTCATTTGCAGCACATTTTATCTGCAAGTTGAAGAAATACGTTTGTAACATAGATTTTGCAGAACATACCGAATGATAAGCTATTGTGCCGTTCTTCACGCAAAGTGTAAATCGTGCCCTTTCTCTTCCACTATACATCGATGGAGTAGAATCGATAAGCACGCACTGCTCTACAACGTGCTACCGTAGCTTTACAGTAATCCTACATACTTGACATTCACGAACTTTCCTGAGTGAGGACGCAATCCACATTTGAACTATCCAAAAGTGACGACCAATAGTAAAAAGTTGAGCTGACCAGCTCAGCGGCCCTAATCGATATATCGATTAGTACTGCCGATTTCAACATCATTAGATTTCACCTTCGGTCGTTACTCTCTCTAACAGCTGCGCTGAAATCCGATTCATCTCCTCTATGTTTTCTTGATCTCGCCATCTAAACACCGGTTATCAAGTCTAAACTGATTGGATTGGTGTTCCTGCGTGTCCACAACACTTGCGCGTAAAAAGGCCTGATAAGCCAGTGCGCCCCGCCATTTCCTACGCGCAAGCGTTGTTGTGAGTGCAAGAGCAAACGTCAAGTCTGATAGACTATAGCTGCTAAGAGCTGCTTACCTGCTCTTGAAAGGCACGTTTCAATTCTTTGAAACTTTGAAATTGAAAAGGATTGTCGTTGTCTTTGGAATCCAGTGCGGTACCTTGGCGGCCGTTTGTCATCCCGAATAGGATAGACAGTCGACCAGTCACAATGCAAGAATGTTGAATGAATCATATTATCAGCTGGCATAATCATTCCTGTTTTGAACTTCATTATCACTGAGATAACGCAGACTATAATCTGTGATGATGAATGGTGACTGTCTATCTTTTCATTTTGTTTGAGGCGCAAAAGAAAAAATTGCCACCATAGGTAAACAATGCCGAAGTACGTTTTCTGAAGTTGGGGTGATTCCAGGGAGCATGAGGAGAGATAGAAAAGCAATCTAAAAAAGAAGAAATTCCAAGTATGTACAATGTCGTAACTTGCTGGCTATGTGTGGATTTGCGGTGTCGCTCAAGCTCTTAGACTCCTTCCTTCGCTATGAAGCATGTTTGAGTTCCTTAGGAAGCCTATAGCATTTTCGAAAATAAGCTAACGCACTGGAGCGTTTCTCTGCGGCTCATCGGGGACAGTGGCCCGCTGCGTTACCTGCGGTGAGTACGACGCGAGCCAAGGTGCGCTGCAGGTGTCTGGCGTTGATGGTATCGCTTCTCGGCCTTTTGGCTAAGATCAAAGTTTAGTTTCTGTTCTTATCGAATTAACCCTCGATAGAGTCTCGAATGAGTCTCGTTAAGGTTATTTGATTTTTGGCACCGAATGAGGTTGCGGGCTTGCTCGCACCTCATCACGGGTCGGCCCAGCGTTGCACTACTGCAAGGATCGGACCACACCCCCACGGGGGTGAACAAGACTGAGAGTTCGGAGTTTGGGCGGCGTGGCAGGAGTTCCCAAAGCCTAGCCGCTTTTCCTCGCAGGGGTACTTGGCACCTCCAATAATCCCTCGAAGGACATCACACCTTCTCGGGGCCAAAGGGCGGCTCCGCCCATCACTCCTCCCTCTAGGTGCCCACATTCTGAATGTACACGCATTGTAAGGCGTGCTACATTGTATATAGGATAATAAAACTGAAATAAAGAAACAAAAAAATTCTTGGTTTGTATAAGAGTTTAATGTTGGTAAATGACTGCAGCTGATAAATGACTGCAGGTGAATCCCTTTCGAGTTATGCTTTATTCATGTTTGCGGATAAAATGACGCTTCCTTCAAAACTTATAATTGCTCGCCCTTTAGTGAGTTTGTAAAGCTTATCGTATTTATGTAAATTAAGCAGGAGTTATGAATCTTCCAATCACAGATAACAGAGAATTAGTCCAGTTTACGCAAGTTCTGAAATTCATCTAAAAATACGAATACCATATCTTGCAAATTTAGTCTCGTATTTGGAACTTCTTAGCCAACTCTTCGATAATGCGACGAAGTTTGGAATTGAGTTCATCGATTGTAGGAAATACTACACTTGAAAATGTCTTTTTGTTAATTTGGATCTTATTGATCGTTAGAATAGTTGGAATGAGACACTTATTCGAATATATAATATGATGGCAGGCGAAAGTAGAAGAGCATATGTGTTCACATATCCTAATTGTTGGAGGAAGCGTTGAGTTGCTTGTCCGGAAACTTTGATATATTCCTTTCAAAATATGTCCTTCTAATGTTGAAAAGGTGATTGGCTTCAAACTCTTGATGCTAATTGAATTTACTTAAATCAGATGACCAGTAATGTACAGTCGATCAACTAGCTTTAATATTTCAATTGAATGGTTTTCTATTCAAAAAATTCTCTGCAATTTTTCTCTTTTGATAACAATGTTCATATGCTCTTTTTTAAAAGGACGGCATAGCAGTAGTTTCCAATCCGCCTCACTTTATAAATGATAACTATAATCTTCGTTTTCTCCAATTTTTCTCTCTTCTTACCTTATTGGAGAAACCTGTGTTCTCGCTACTTGCACACCTTACAATGAGACTGGTAAACGGGTGGAGCAATAGGCGGGGCCTGACCTTCGAGGCGCGGAGGTGCTAGAACCCTCCTGGGTGCGAATGTTGGTGCGAACGTGGTGCGAGGAAAGGTGCTAGGAACTCCTGAACAACCTCATTCGGTGCCAAAAATCAAATAACCTTAACGAGACTCTATCGAAGGTTAATTCGATAAGAACAGAAACTAAACTCTGATTTTAGCCAAAAGGCCGAGAAGCGATACCGCCATTGCCCAACACCTGCAGCGCACCTTAGCTCGCGTCGTACTCACCGCAGGTAACCCAGCGGGGCACTGTCCCCGATGAGCTGCAGAGAAACGCACTGGCGCATGGCCTTATTGAATTTCATAAGCTTCTTAGAGATCCCAGATATGCTTCATACCTAGGGTATGTCAACGTCTACCCACTGGCTTGATGGCAGCCACAAACGCATTCATAATCAACAAGCTGCAGTTTTGTAAACGTACTCTTAATTCTTCCTTTTCTTTGAATTTTTCTCTGCTTTTTATTTTCTGGGAAACGTTTTGTTTTGGATAACTATTTCATTTTCTCTCCTGTGGCGAAGATATTATGCCTTTTGCGTTTGCGAGAGCTGAATGTGTTTAAAGAGCTTAGTTGTTCTTTCTATATTTTCAGAAAGTGATGCTGAAAACTTAGGCCTGATCTTGACTTTTTGATTGGAGTTCCAGTGAGGTGTGCTAGAAATCATCCGCCAACTGGTAAATGTCAAAGATATTACATCGAGATAAACAAAAGATAAACACATTTGTTGATTTCATGTACAAGCTTAGTCGATTTGACATTGAACGGATTTTCAGTGCTGAATGATGATAAGTCCCATCAAAGTAACAGGAAGAAAAGAATCCATGTTCTTCTTACATACTGTCAAAGCGGAAAAATGAGAGCATTGTAATTTGTTGGTTGCACAGATAAATCATTATTTGACGATTTTATGAGACTCCATCTGATGAATGCACAATTTTTCATGTTTACTTTCAACCTATTTTCTCGAATCGTTAGCTGGAGGGGTAATGAACCTCGAATTGAGCTTTGTGCTGCAGCCTGAATTGACAAAACACGAATTTTTTGAATCGGTCATCTTACAGTAATCAAACTCGAGCGGTAATACTGCTTCAGACGGAATGATAGGCTACTGTGCCGTTTTTCACGCAAAGTGTAAATCGCGCCCTTTCTCTTCCGCTATACAGCGATGGCGTGGAATCGATAAGCACGCACTCCTCTACAATTACAGTAACTTCACAGTCGCCTTCAAAATTTTGACGTTCACGAACTTTCCTGAGTGAGGACGCAATCCACATTTGAACTATTTAAAAGTGACGACCAATGGTAAAAAGTCGAGCTGACAAACTCAGCTGCCCTAATCAATATATCGATCAAAGCTATCGAATGACCCTTAGTTTTATCCGGTCATTGCTTTCTCTAACAGCTGCGCTGAAATCCGGTTCATCTCCTTTATGTTTTCTTGATCTCGCCATCTAAACACCGATATTGGAGTATATGACGCATTTTGGTGTTCCTGCGGTGCCCACAACACTTGCGCGTGAAAATGCCTGCTCAGCGCAATCCTACCCCCATAACCATTATTTATGCGTAATTGTTGTTGTCAGTGCAAGAGCAAACGTCAAATCTGATAGACTATAGCTTTACGAGCCCTTACCTGCTCTTGAAATGCACGTTTCAATTCTTTGAAACTTTGAAATTGAAAAGGATTGTCGTTGTCTTTGGAGTCCAGTGCGGCACTTTGGCGGCCGTTTGTCATCCCGAATAGGATAGACAGTCGACCAGTCACAATGCAAGAATGTTGAATGAACCATATTATAGACTAGCATGATCATTCCTGTGCGGGGCTTCTTATTGAGATAACGCAGACTGAAATATGTGACAAATGGCAATTCTATATTTTTCTACTTTGTTTGAGGCAGAGAAAGAATTGCCCCATAGGTCAGACCACACCTTCGATACATAGAGCCACAGACTCTAGTAACCTTCACTTTAAGGGCTATGAGGAGACACAACCTTCACCTGGAAAAAAACAGAAGTCATCTGGGGCGAAGCCCCGGATGTTATTATCCTAACCACATCGGAATGATTGTTAATGAAGCAAATGCAGGAAAGAATATCTGAAGACGCTGAAAAGAGAATTTCTGTAAAAGTTTCCTCAGAATCCAAGACAACGTTTCTCAGTTGGCCTCTTACTTGACCAAAATTGAGTTATAGAAATTTGAGAAATCTCTTGGAGTTGAATCAAAACGAAAAACTGCGCTTAAATGTGCGCAGAGAGTCGCGCACGAAAATGCTGGTCTATCTCGTTAGTGAGTGACTTTTAAAGCTTGGGACGTTGTCAGTTCTCCTAGTCGTGTCATGACGGTCAGAATGTTATATAATGTTGCAGGGTTTCGCTGAGACCCCGCGGAGATCTACGACCAGAGCCAAATCCCCCGTCGGCTCTGGTCTGGCTCCGCTGCTCGTCTGCGTCTCCGCGCGCTGCGCGCTACCTCGCTACCCCAAACGCTGGGCGCGGGGCATTTGGCTCTGGTACCCTTTTCTCCGCTGTTTCGAATCCAATTTTGACAACCTATATATCGTTTTGAAGCTCTTGATCTCTACTTTTACGCTGACAACGTCCCAAAATCATATTTTTTGATTTGATCGAGAAATCCGGCAAAAACCTTGTTTTCGAAAATCTCTTGTTTTTCTTTCAGTTTACTTCTTTTTGCGCGGTTTTTTCGTGCATTCTATAGACCTTGCTTCTGTTCATAATGCAGACAACCACCCAGCTCTTATCTCTTCGATTATAATGGAATTTTTCGTGAAAAACCGTGAAAAGTGCGTTTTTCTTTACTTTGTTCCGTTTCATTGCTTTCGCAGCGATTTTTCTCCCAGCTTGGACGATATTGCCCAGAATAATGAGCGCAACAATTCAGACAACGTCCCAGGAAACAGGAATGTTAATGCGGGGGTAAAATTTTAAAGGACGCATCAAAAATCAAAACCCCGTGTTGCGCATTGCTGGTCCTGGAGCGAAAATTTGCACCTTGAAAAGCCGCCAAATGAAAGACTACAAACCTCATTGCAGCGTTTTTATCCAGTTTTCAGCAGTTTCTTTTGCTTTTTATATCTGTTTTACGTCATTTTCTCCTCTCTAATCTTTTTTAAACAACCTTCACTATTTATGACGTCAGATGTTCAAACAACCTTCACTTTTGACGCCCTGTCTCTAGACTATCGAAGGTATGGGTCAGACATAGCGGGGTGCCCTAAAAAAATTATAGAAACCACAGAAAAGAATTCAAAGAATGAAGGAGATTTGCTATGAGCGCATTTGCGGTATCCCTCATGCTGCTGGGTAGACTCATTTGTTCCCCAGTTCTAAAGCACATTTGATTTTTTTGGAATTTATAGCATTTCCGAAAATAAGCTAACGCACTAGAGCGTCTCTCTGCAGCTCATCGGGGACAGTGCCCCGCCGGGTTACCTGCGGTGAGTACGACGCGAGCGAAGGTGCGCGCAGGTGTGTTGCCGGATGGGCATCGCTTCTCGGCCTTTTGGCTAAGATCAAAGTTTAGTTTCTGTTCTTATCGAATTAACCTTCGATAGAGTCTCGAATGAGTCTCGTTAAGGTTATTTGATTTTTGGAACCGGATGAGGTTGCGGGCTTGCTCGCACCTCATCACGGGTCGGCCCAGCGTTGCACTGCTGCAGGGATCGGCCCACACCCCCAAGGGGGTGAACAAGAACGGAAAATCAGAAATAAGAAGCGATGTTATTTTTCGTGTGGGCGGGCTCAAAAATATGAAGTTTTTGCACTGTGCTGCTAAACGGATCGGCCCATAACAAAAAGGCTTTGATGAACTGAAGAGCAAAATTTTCTCGATATTTGCTCTATGAAGAACTTGGTCTGCAAATAATGAGGCAACATGACCTGAATAAAAACATTAGGATTCTGATGATGAAAGAACCTATAATACTAAATGTTCCGATGTTTACTGCATCCGATTTTTTATGACCCTACACAAAATTCAAATTTTGAGTGATTTCGGTTTGAGCTTCTGCCCCCTTCATTTGTATACACTAACGAACAGTTCAGGAACAGATGCAAAGAGCATTAGTTTCTCTTTTAAGTAAAATTTTGATCGTAAAATTTCGTTGAGAATTTAATGAGTTATGAATTTTTGAAAATCGTGCCAAAGAACTTTCGGAACGGCCTAATATTTAATTGTTTGAAATTGGGATGCAATACCTTAGGTTCCAAACAGCATGACAGTGATAAGAATTTGTGATAATTAGTGTAGTCTAGTCCAGCCTTCCATTTTATATATTATACTTCGGTATGTACTGTTCTCATTGAGCCAAAAGGAGGAATTTTTATTTTTATTTTTCATTTCTGACATTTCCAAGTGCTATTGTATGTACTGTCCTATATATAATAATATTTAACGAGTTACTGATATTTGGGACGAACTGGCCGTTTCCAGCACTCTCTAGAAAAGTAATCCAACTGCAACTCGTGCTAAACTAAACGAGTGCTTTATTAAGCCGGCAAAAGTCGGGAATAACCGTTGACTAGAGGCTTACCGAATTCAGAGGTTATTGTCTAGATCACGAATAGTGCAACCCTTTGTTGCCTCATCATCCGACCTTAGTGATGATACACCGCCCCAAGGTCAAGCAGATTCTATTATCAGAATCCTAATGTTTTTATTCAGGTCATGTTGCCTCATTATTTGCAGACCAAGTTCTCCATAGAGCAAATATCGAGAAAATTTTGCTCTTCAGCGTTTCATCAAAGCCTTTTTGTTATGGACCGATCCGTTTAGCAGCACAGTGCAAAAACTTCATATTTTTGAGCCCGCCTACACGAAAATTAACATCACTTCTTACTTCTGATTTTCCGTTCTTGTTCACCCCCGTGGGAGTGTGGGCCGATCTCTGCAGCAGTGCAACGCTGGGCCGACCCGTGATGAGGTGCGAGCAAGCCCGCAACCTCATCCGGTTCCAAAAATCAAATAACCTTAACGAGACTCATTCGAGACTCTATCGAAGGTTAATTCGATAAGAACAGAAACTAAACTTTGATCTTAGCCAAAAGGCCGAGAAGCGATACCGACAAGGCAACATACCTGCGCGCACCTTCGCTCGCGTCGTACTCACCGCAGGTAACCCGGCGGGGCACTGTCCCCGATGAGCTGCAGAGAAACGCTCTAGTGCGTTAACTTATTTCGAAAATGCTATATAGTCAGCAAGCAACAATTTTGTAAACATATTCAATTCTTCCTTTTCTCTTGAATTATTTCTCTGCCTATATAATTTTCTGGAAATGTACTTCTTCTTCTCTCTTATGAATTTTTGGGAATGGTAATTCTCCATTTCTTTCCCATAGCGACGGTTTTGTTCTTTTGCGTTTCAAACATGAGAGCTAAAGAATATCTAGAATACAAGCGAAATTGCTCTTTTCATGTGTAGAAAGTGATAAAAAAACATAGACCTAGTCTTAACTTTTTTTACACCAGTTTTTTTTTCTTAAAGTCCCAGTAGGGTGCGACAGAAATCATCCGCCAACTTGGTATGTTGGAGACGCATTTATCAGACATCAAGATAAACAAAGGAAACGGATTTGCATTGCAGAATTATGTTAAGTATTTTTCTTATCTACATACTGTCGAAGTGGAAAGACGATAGTAACTTGTTGGTTGCACACATAAATCATTGTTTATCGATTGTATAAAACTCCGTCTGATAAATGCGTAATTTTCTATGTTGAATTTCAAACTAATTTCTCGAATCGTTAGCTGGACGAGTAATGAATTTCGGACTGGGCTTTGATAGTTGCTGCGGCCTGAAATAGACACTTTCATTTATTTACAAAATAATTTAAGCATCAAATTTGAGCTCGATTTTACTTACCGCTTCAGGCGTAATATCTCTCTGCGGCTCAGAGAAAACTTCGTATCCCGCCATGTATTTAGGTACGGTAGCTAAACAGCCAATTGTTTGAACAGTGCGAAGTTTAGGATCAATGAGCCAACCTGATCTCAGCAGTGGTGGATGAAAGGATGCATGTAAACACCAATGCTTCGTGTCCTCTTCTAAAGCAGGACCAGTAGGAGCTCCTAGCCAGCCCATACTGAATGGAAAAGAACACTGAAAAGATAAGATTGTGACAGTTTGACTGAGAGGAAAACTTTGAAACCTACCTTGAATATATTATCATATTTGATGATTATTCGCCGCAAAATGTCTGCCAAAGAAACTTGCTCGTCCTGAAGTCATAAAAAATGAAGTTATCGGCAAAAATCTGAGTAGAAATTATCAACCTCTTCCAATTCATCCAACCGTTGAATATGCCTGTTAGGGAGCAGCATTGTCTCATAGGGCCACACCGCCCAAAATGGCACGAGCACTGTCCAATGTTCATTTTCGAGGACAATTCTTTCGCTATTTCCTTCTTTTTCCTTCCGTAAATAGTCCATGAGCAAGGGCTGTTCATGCTTTGAGTAGTACTCCTAAAAAATAAGTATAACCTCAGTAATCGAAAAACTTTTGAACACTCTTCACCAAAAAAAGGAGTCACTAAGTGCTGCTCAAACACTTCTTTACAAACGTAAGCTTTGGGCCATGCGTTCTGTTGTGGATTTTTGATTTCTTAAATTTTGCGAATGTCAGGGAAGTTTCGCAACTGCAATAAGGTGAGAACCCTACTCTCCATCTTCTTCAGTTTGCACTGCTGCAATCAAAAATTTCAATATTATTTCAGATCTTCTCGCAAGCTTGATAATTATAATGCAGTAAATAGTACAATCAACAACGCTTTTGGTCATCGTATTTCCCAAAATTTGTGGTAGATAGCTTTTCTCATTTTTTGCTCAAGGAGGTATAATGGGTAACACTCACCCGTTGACATTTGTCTTTTCTTAACGGCAAATTCGGCAAAAAATCTGACGCCCAGAGTTGTCCATGCGGATGCGCATTCGAGCAGCCAACTGCAGCTCCACGATTCTCGAATATCTGAAATGAAAACGATATATCAAAAATTTAATAAGTCATCCAGCCTTGCCTAGAAGTAATAAGTACCTGAATCCATAGATAACGCTCTTTCAGCTCTTGAAACTGTTCTATCCATACCTTTACCACTTTGGTTACCTAAATTGCAAGTTAAGGTAATCTTCACAGAAATGAGTAAAAACTCTACATCTTCAACAGACATAGTTGCAAGGCTTTGTTTCGTGTCGGGATGATAGCAAATCACCCGACACACTCCACGAATCTCCATTTGTCGAAAAAGCTCATCCTGCTCTGAAAAAACGTCAAAAGGAAAAATTTCGTTTATTTATAAAACTACAAGGATCTTCCTACCTTTGCTGTCCCCGTCATCTTGACCCGGAAAGTCAGTAAAGCTTGGAAAGTCATTTTCGAATACATAAGTCGAAGTGTAGTTTGGGGTAACCTTTAAAAAATTTATGTTGATGATTTTGTGCCATAGTGATGGACAAAGAAAAAAAGGAAGATGTAAAACTTTCTTCAAAACCAGTCTCAAATTTTTCGAAAATTGTGAATCAATTGGAAAACCGTAACCAAAAATCATTTTTTTCCTGTAGTAGCTTCAAAATTGTAACCGATGCTTTAGATCTTTCGAAAAAAATCCTCTTTCATAACAGCCTCCTCTCCACGTATGTGGAACCGTTGGTTTGAACCTCACCATATCATTATGCCTCTTTCCACCAGGCGCTAAAGAATTTACACCAGTACTTGTAGCAAACGAAGGCGGATCACTCTTGGCTCCCTGCCAAGGTCGAGAAACTCGGTTACTTGCCACGATAACCCATTCATCAAGCAGTGGATTGTACCGCCGGTGATTGTTTCTCTTGAGCATGGGTAATCTGAAAAATGCATATGAGTTTCAAGCACATTTTCTATCTGCAACTGACGGCTCTTCTTTTTCGTAGCACTTACGTTAGATCAGTCATCTATCGATAATATTATGTTGTCCCGAAAGTTTTATCCGTTTTTTCAAACGGCTATAAACAATGCACAATAAAGACCTGAACGAGTTTCAACGTGCATTCGATGCAGCTTTTCCTTCTCTTTTTATGGATACATTTTCGAACCCCAGTCTTGCATGCTTTTTTTTATAGTTGCCAAAATTCTCTACCCATCAATTTTATCTGCTTAAAGTTAGGCTAATCAAAAGTTTCATTCCAAAGTCTCGGACAAATATGGATCAAATAGAGCAAATCTCGGACTACAAGGTGATATTTTTAGATCCTCCTAATCTGCTGTTTTGAGCTTGAAAATATTTCTTTGGAGGTCTCGATTTTTGGCAAAGTCACGAAACAGAAACACGCAACTGCAGCAAATACATGAAAGCTTTTGAAGTTTCTGCGAATTGATACATGATTCTTATTGAATATTATTTATGCAACATAAACAAGTTTGATTTGCTCTGAAAAAGCAGCAGTTGGAATTTTCGGTACTTTTACGCGGTAAACGTGATCAAAAAGCTGCGATTTCTATTCAATAAATAATTATAACGGACTTGGTAAACGTGGCCAATGTAATCTAGAATAGGTGTTATGTAGCCAAAGGTTTGCTCTACATAACAATTAGCGGCGCTCTTTGAAAACATCAGAATGGAGATTTTTAAGATCCAGGAAAAATTTGACGTTGCTGAGCTGCTCAAAAAGCCATGGCGATAACATTGCAAAGACAGGGTAGATCAGAGAGCAAATACAGCTGTAAGAAAGAGGATTAAAATATGAATTAAATGGTACGCCCATGAACTGGTGTGAACGAAGAAAACTTTCTGAACAACCTATTATAACAATATAAAAACTCATGTAAAAGGTGAAAATCAAAAGAAAATACATGAGTAAAGGTAAGAAAAGGTAGAACTGTCGCTTTTTCGTATTTTATACGAATTTCTATGAAATCAGATATAGAGCTGCCAATGGAAATACATTAACTATATATAATTGCAGAAAAAGGCTTCCCTGAACAGGTTCCTGTACGAGTCATAACTAGTTCTTTTCAAAAAAGCGTTGGAAACTCCTCTCGAAAAGTACTCCCACATAATTTTCCTAGTCCTTTGATATTCACTCCCACCAATGCCTGAACACAACAGAGACCAAATTGTGATTTTCAGCAGCATAGGGGAATCTTTGTAGTGTTTCCGAGCACACTATCACAATTTTGTCTAGAAGTTAGTACTAGGTATTTATCTTCCAGATTAGTGCTCCATTGATATATAACGATTTAGCAAAATTGATGAATGTTTCAAGTTACACCTCAAGAAGCGGTAATTACAAACTCATTGATGCGCAGTAATTATTATGTCTTTTTTAGCATGTTATAGCCAGCCCAGATGCCATTTCACTTATCCTATATTGTAGATGGTCAATTTTCCCCGTAAATCAATATCGATACACCTTAAACGTAGCATATCTGATATGGCAAAAAAGTCACCAAGCTGTCATAAAGACGGGAGTCAATAAAAGAATGCCATACCGAATTCGTTCTAGTTGTTCTGCAGAAAAAGTTGAACATTCATTTGGAGATGCCGTTTTCCAGCCTCAGAAGGGCATAAGAAAAGTGTTTGCTTTCTGAATTTAATGGTTTTCAAGTAGCAGATGCAATTTTGTCGAAATCTTTCCAAATTGCCCTGCTCTCACAGCCAATATTAAACAGCACGTTTGTTCTCTCTCCCCCCCCCCCCATTGGAATCCTCAAAATTACGAGGTTTGCGTAGTTCAAACATTCAGTCCCAATAACAGAAAACATTGTCCATGTATAAATGATACTCGAATCCTTTGTTGAACATTTTAACAGAAAGTTTGACTTCGCCATTTGAGATTTGATAGAGTAACGAAGCTAGCTACTAAATTCACCAGTGGAATTCCGCATAAGGGTATTTTACAGGTTTTCGCCAATTTCATGCCACTTAGAGCTTATCAAATCCAGATCCTCTAAAGCTCATAACTTCTATCCTATTGTTGTTCCACAGAAAAGGAGAGCAGTTTGGAATCAGCGTGCAATGTTCTTCAGAGTGATGTAGGAGACATTTGGAAAGGCTACTTCGACTAAAAAATCTTGCTTTATGAGAGTCAAATTGCATTTTCTGGAACTATCTCCTCGTTATTCCTTATTTCGGCTGTACATACGTCTGCACTAACAGTCCCACGCAGTGGCGTTATGTCTATTAAGAAGCGAACCACTCATAACAATAACTTTTAAAGTGGTTCTTGATACCCTGTGGGAACCGGTAAGGTAAACAGCGCAACGAATGACTTACTGGAGCAAAAGATTGCATCTCACTTCAAAGATATGACGTTTCTTCAATAGTTTGGAAATAGTCATGGCCTTCACACCATTTTTTCCAATGGAAGTAAGGAATCTCATATGGATTCTGCGTAAAGATTCAAAAATAGCACTTGAAAAGTTTGGAGAGCACTAACACAAAAAAGTAGAAAAGAACGACCACCTATGTTTGTTGCATCATCATGTCAGGTTAGATTTTAAAAATTAGCAAATCTATAAGCCTAAAAAAATCCGTTGAATTTGAAATAATATTTTAGAGATATGGCTAATGGTTGATGAGGAATGTATTCAAAATTTCATGCATGGGACAACGACGACGAACAAAGTAACAAAAGAGCTACGCTTTGTATCAAGCTTCAGCAACCATTAAAGTTTGTTATAAGTATTTATGACCCACTATTCGATGAGAGAAGCGAATAAAAGTATTGACATTAATAATCTGACAGTCTAAGCGAATGATATCATTAACACGAAACTGCATCAAAAGTTACCACTACAGAAGGAAATTTCTGGGTTACAAACGGTCCTTGCCACACATCTAAATCGTTGTGCATTTGCACAACCATGTTCTCAGCAAAAAATTATGTGCCTGATACGAGTGGACCCAAGCGTATGGCGAAAACTGCGTTTTTAGGTAACAAACAACAAATACATTTACAGTAATAAATAAGCTACCAAACGTTCCTATAACAACCTGTGTTCGCATATGAATAGATCAACATACAGGCAACAAAAATCAGTGCAACAACGAATCGATAACTGCCTAATGTAGACAGCGGACAACAATGTTGTTATCTACATTTTCACTTTCAGCTGCTTCATCTTTGGCTGTTTAGCCTTTGCTTCGCGTTTCATCTCGAGTTTCTACAAGAAAGCATGTTAATAAGTCAAAAGCTTACCCAGCGTATGAAACATTCAAGCTAATTACTTGATTGATAATCATTAAAGCTTATTTTGAAAGCCCTTTCTTATACGTCTGGAAAATAAAATTTCGAAAATTAGAATTTTTTGCCATTTCTGTCGCTTCATTAGAGACCAGACAGATTTAAAACCAAAAACAAAAAAAAAATCGAAAATAGATAACGAATAAAACCTCAAGGCGCCTCTGCTTCTCTGGATCCTCCTCTTCTAATAGTCGCTGCTTCCGCTCCCGAGTCTTTTCTTCTCGTCGTGCCTAAAAAATGCATGTGGCTCACTTTATATGAAAAAGAAGAAATATGTCTTACTTGTGCAGCTTCTTGTCGCAGCTGATGTGTAGTTTTTATAAACGCTTCCTCGACCTCGCGTCTTCTCTTATCGGCCTTCTGCTTAGCTTCTTTACTGAGGCGGAACTTTCGAATCTACAAAAGTATTGATCGATAAAGAAAATTTCATGCGTGAATCCTACCTTATCAACTATGTAGAACATGAGTTGTAGTAACTCAGCCTGTGCTTCTTTATCACGACATTCGTCGAGATTCAGGCTGAACTGCACCAAACGCACAACTTCAGGCAGTCGAGTATAAGTTTCTCCCCTCAAATACATTTTTGCGACCTTGCACCGTACAAAAATTACGGAAAAAACTACTCACTCTGGAGGCTTAGGCCCACTGTATTGATCCGAGATATGTACATATTCAATGGCTTTCTCGTATTTACGAATTATTGCAGATACTCCAGGCTCAAAAATTGCATAAGTAGCTTCAACTTGCTCAGTGTACAAAGCAAAACTGAAAAAGGACAACTTTAAGATATGAAGAAATAGTGAAGATTTGAAAAATCCTCACCTCGGTGGTAGACCAAATTGTGAAGTCGTTTTCTTCTCGACAGTGTAAGTGCTGAGATCAAGCATATCTTTGTGCTGTTTGACAACAGGCTTCTTCTGTCCGAAGATCATAACAAAAGAATCCAACTCTCCAGGATCTAGTTCAAGCTAAATAAAAGGAAAGGTGAAGTGACCATGGAGGATTGGTCCACATGAGTAAAGAAAATGTATTTAGCTAATTACGCAAACGTGCATGCAATAATCATGATGTGAAAAGAAAGATTGCAGAGAATACTTACCTTGAAGGTGATTCTATCTCTTTGAGGTGAGAAGAACGCCATGATCCGGCTAATAAGATCTTGCCTTTTCATGGTTTTGATCTAAACGAAGCAAGAGTCTACCGATGTCACATATAAAGCATAGGCATTACAAATACCTGAATCAACATTCCATTTACACCAACTCGTCCTGAGCACCAGACAGTGTATGAGCAATCTGTCTCTCGTTGTACAGCAGCGCTGCTTTCCGGGAATTCGTTCACACCGTCATCTCCTACCTGGATTTACCGATGCAGATTTTCATAAAGAGCGAAAAGAAGACGTGAAAAATATAGTCGCTATGAATAAACCTTCACTGCCAAGCAACGCACACGTATCATAACTAGCTTAGATATTCGTTCTGTTCGTTTTGATAATAAGATAGCGGCTGAAAAAGTCTACTGAAAATCTAAGCGTATGGTGCTATATGTTTGAAACTACTTCGATGGTTAGCTACAAAAACAACATTCTTGCAGCTTGCTTTTGCACGCGGTTGGGCTTACTGGATAAGCTTCATATAATACTCTCTGCCCATAAATCAAAAACGTAAAAAGATAACTGAAAATGTACTTAAGCTACTTACCAGAGCAAATTGCTGTTCGAGGAGACCTCTCACATTGTCGAACCATTCTAATGCCAATGACTGGTTCGTATTCCTTCCAATCACATAATTCAACAAATACATAGCTATCACAGCAAGAACTATGGCCTCCACTTGGTAAGAGGCCCAGTTTGAGCGGAAGTGAGCTGGTACCTGAATCAAAAATTTGATATTCCGGTGGTCTTTAAAATTTATTTGCGAAGTTACGGTAGGTGCAAGTTTATGTAACCTTATGAACTCCACGACGGATGATTGTATATGCGATATGACAACACAGATACTTCCCAGCCCCAAGTAATGCTTCACAATCAAGATGTTTATGTCTTCTAGCACGTTTCTTTTCTTGCTACTTCAGAAAGCCTATAGTGACACTAAAGTCCGGTACGAGAGTACTGATTATATGACTTCACATTACTTCTAGTATCTTGCATAAATTCATGTCAACCTCATGTGCGTCTCGTACTTTAGTGGGTGTGAGAGGATTAACAACTGAGCTGCGCATGCAAATAATGGAGTCGATCAGGCATTGTAGTGCTCACAAATATACAGTGGGCTTCATTTACAGAAATCAACAAGGATCAGAAACAAAGCGAAGATTGACTTACGTCAGCAAATTTCAATGGCTGCACCGGTTGTTGTGCTTCATCCTCTTTTTCCTTTATCTCCTCTTCATCCTCGACGACACCGTAATCGTCGTCAAAATCGTCAGCCTTCTGTGAATGATCTACTTTCTAAAATGTGATGTGAGCAAGTGAACATGATATCGAATGATAAAGGATCAGTAAAATGAAATCGAAATGCGATGAAAAGATAAAAATTGTACCTGCTTTTGAGGCTCTTCTTTTACAGCCTTTTTATCTTGGGCATCCGTGGGTGGTGGTTGCACAACCTCTTCAGCCTCCTCATCCTGAAAGGAGAACACAGAGTAACCAGACCAAAAATTCACGATTTCAAATTTTTTCAAAATATGTAAAACTTCAGACAAACCTCAAATTCAGCAAACTCATTGTCTTCTATCTCAGCATTATTTGCAATACCAAAACGACTACATAGAACAACTGTGAAAGCAACCACCAGAATCAATTTCATGATGGTTCAAATCACCCAGGGAGATTCGTCGTCTCTGCAAAGGCCACCATAGAAATGAAATCATTCGCACATAGCAAAAAGTGAGCATAGAAACTGCTCATGTGAGAAAGGCGATTGTTCATTCGTGATGATGTATACAGGAACACAATAGCTCAAACAAAAAAAGTAGGAACTATACAGAAATTAGAATGTCCATTACATGCATGCGATGCAAATATGTTCCCTTAAACGCTTGTAGCTAAGAAATTACTTACTACATTCCACCATACAAACCCGAATGAACGAAATATGGGAATAATCGAAGCGAACAGATTCAACAGTCGAAGTATTTCGCCACTGTAATGCGAGAAGTCCGCAGGGAATTACGTACTTTGGCTGTCAGTTGAGCAGAATTTTCAAAATTTGCTAAAAATGCAAATTTAGACCAAGATTATGGTGGACTGGATGAGTTTTTCGTTTCCATTAGGTGTTAAGAAGATATTAAAAGTCAAAAGAGCTGATCTACAGACTTTAAACAAGTTTTGAAGCCCGTGGAAGGAGAAAAGTGTGCGGCACTAAAAAGGGTTCCCGCAGCGATTTCTTCCAGCTTGTACCAAATCGCAGATCCCCTTTCCCTGGATATATTGAATTCAGGATGGATCCTCAGAATTTCGATGTGAGTTTTTCAGCATTTAACTCTTCTCATAGTGTTTTGATGCTTAAAATCACAGAGTTCTAAGTTTGGCGAATCTTTGCATCATTTGCATTTTCTTATCGCCTTAAATTTGATTACTCAGCTTGAATGTCGGCGTTGGCTGTAATGCTTGGGAACGCTCGCCTTCATCCTGAAGGTTTGTTTTTTCTTGATTTTCTTGTTCAAGTGGCAGTAGCTGACAAATGTCCTATCTTTAGAGGAGGAGGCAATGTGCCAGGAAAACCTCGCCAAGGAGTTTACATGGATCCAGTCAAGTCGAGCTCGGAAGACATTCAATAACGTCAGTATTTTTCAAATTGAGTTTTTTTAGCGGTGACTGATTATAGCCCAAAAAGTTTTTAAAGCAGAGTACAGTCTGCGCAACTTAGTGATGCGAGATATAATCTGTACCTGACGTTGAACGATCTTGCATAACGACAGACAAGATTTATACACTTGGTATTTGTTCCTCCTGGCGGCTCAAAGGCGTCACTACCGCGTTGCCCCAACGAACGCATCCTAATTCGTGCTTACATCTTTGTGAAATCGTGACAGAAAATTCAATCGCGTTCTCTGCGGCCACCCCAATGTCACAAGAAGGTAACACTTGAACAGAAAGCATGACTTTACTGTTCAGCTCAGTCACTTTCAGCTTTCAAAAGCTATGATATATAGGCACAAGAGCACAGAAGCACTAGTATCAACCATCAAAATCATTGTAGAATTTTCTCATGGCGCTAAAAGCTCTAGGCAGCTCTAAAACGAGCGATCTTGAAGCTGTGCGCCGTGCCAGTGCAGTGCCAGCGCCGTGCCAGTGCAGTGCCAATGCAGTGCCAGCGCTGTCCCGTAACTCACGTGCACACTCCTCGCATGAAGGCTTGACGCTTCCCACACTGCTAACATGGTGCTGGGTCATAACTCTGGACGCAGCCTCAAGTTCTTCAGTGATGTGAGGTTTTATTTTTGGAAGCGCTCCTGGAGAGAAATAATTAAATGTTACGATACAAGTTGGATCCCTGACTGTGCACTGTCTTACTACCCATGGAAAAAAACAGTAAAAATTAATGAGAATTGTCGTGGGCAGTATGGAAACGAGTTTTTGATAGTTTTTGGAACATCTGTGCCTTCAAAGGAGTTATTTGTTTTGTATCTCACAAATTTGTCATAATATTCTGATCTTTAATAGCATGGGATTTATCGCTTTTGGCATGTATCCCTTACTTTTATCTGCAAAATCCAGAATCTGCTGTGGGTGTATAGAAGGTTATTTCCATGCAGTGCAAAAGGTCATCTTGATCATTTTTTGTATAGCTGAATAAATGTTCTGCCCAGTTACTCGCAGTTTTGCTCCTTGTAACTCCGTTCGCCTACTTGGCTTATCTTAGAGATCGTCTCGTTGTTTTGCATCATCGTCGGCAATTTCTTGGTCTTCTTTCACGTCACTCTCATACTTGGTATCTTCACCTCGTCTAACGTTCGGTTTTTATTCGCTCATACATTATCTATGCACCTTGTGACCGACAACCTGTTATTTCTTCATCCTCCGCTAATGACTGAACCAGAAGTTTGTCATTCCTTGTCTACATACGGTCTGCTCCTGTCTTCTCTCAGTTCAAGCTTTTCTATCTACTTGAGCAGTAGCGGAGACTGTAAGGCGAACTTTGAGTACTAGGAAGAAATTTTTTCAATAGGTAGATGTGAATTTGCAGGTACTTTGGTCACTGCGAGAATGCTGCATTCGTCTACATTTGGGCCACAAATGCGATCCTCGTTTGGCCGTTCCGATAACGCAACCTCTCGCGGAAAGACACATTCTAACCGCAAAGCAGGGAGGAGATGCGTTGAAGGTACGTTGCGGCTTAGGCTTTTTGATACATTCATTTTTTGATTATCGTATTGGTAGAGGGTAAACGACTTTACGTAGACGTGGCACTTTTCTATCAAGTTTGCGCTTACAGGCAACTGTTACTCTTCTTGGTGATAACGTCATTCAAGCTGAGGTAGCGGTGAAGCATGCCAAGTCAGCCGGTGGTATGTTTCGTGCTGTCGCACAACCTGATGTTCAGTGGAAATTGCAGCAACTCCAGGTGACTTCGACCTTGTTTGATCATGCCAGAGAGCCCTCTTGGTTCTTTTCGTATTTTTCATAGCCTTTTTACTTCTAGGACCTTGGAAATCACATTGCGCGTGCATCGGTGTCCTTGTGCGAGGCAGATGTACGAATGTCCGAATTGTCTCGATCAGGAGAATTTACCGCGGAGACCGGTGAACTGATATTGTCCGCTGCCCGAGAAGCTAAAATTGAAATATCTGCTGCACGAACCTCTATCCTGCTTCCAAGGAAAAAGTAGGTTGAAACTTCGCCATGCATCATTGATTTTTTGCTTTTGCTATATCCGAAGAATTTTTATGCTTGGGGTCATCTTTCTCCTCATCTTGATATACTGCTGTGTTCCTTTGCGTTTTGGTACTATACCTTTTCTTTTCAGTTTCATCGCTCTTTACACCTCTGCGCTTTTTAGTTCAAGGCACTCATTTGCCGCTATATAGCGACCCTGTGTTTCTTAGCTGAAAGCAAAAATGCGTTATTGTAACAGAGTTTTGCTGAAGATGTGATTGATCATATCCATGACTTGCTTTTCCTTATAATGCATGCCTCTTCACTTCAGTCATGGCGTTTATGACGACGTGAAGATTTATGGGCCTCAGATTGACGAATTGGTCTATTTAGACATTTTGTATGCTTGACACAGTACCCAGATTCGAGTTAGAGGAGAAACAGTTTTTATCTTACCCTTCCCTTGTCTTGAAGAGGTGCTTAGCTATATGTAAGCGCTGACAAAACATAAACTTTATTTGCTATGGTGAATATATTCCTGCATCAAGCTAAGAGCTGGCGCAGATTTTCGTCATTGCTGTTCAGATGCGAATTGATTGAGAACTGATCCCTCTCACTTTTGTTTGATTTGATTTTCTCACAAGAGTATGCTAATAGCTTGGTAAATATTTGACAAAACTTTTGCGTGCTTTGGTAAAAAGTGGATCAGTGCGAGCGCTGTGAGACTTTTTGAATGGCAAAACTGAATATCGTAGACTGTACGAATGAGTGTTTTTTTTTTTTGAACTAGAAACTGGCGGAACATTTGCAGCGCACTGTGATTTTAGCAAAGTTTTCTGCGAGGGTATAGTACCTCACAAATAGGGTGTAAAACGGAGAACTTCTTGTTTTTGCACTAATTCGCTGTGAACATTTGAGTTAATTACAAAAGTCTTTGAAATAATGATATTGATTGCTGAAATCATTCTTGGAACTACTCCTAGCAATTTATGTAGTGTTAAAATCAGTTTTACATGTTCAGATCACTGCTAGAACTCTGCCATTTTCCACCCACTCGACGTTTCAATCCTCCTCTTCCACAGGATCAGCTGCTTTCATTCTATATATCCAGCTGCAAACTTGTTAGTCATTTTATTTCACTATACCAAATGCTGCTATGGACGCGTTATATTCAGGTTTGTGCCTCTTATCACATGGTACCGAAGCAGAGCGCCCCACAAGGACTTTCTATTACAATGGCAGAGTGCCAGTTACCTTATCTAGAAGAAGTTTTGAAACAGTTGAATTTGGCTTTGACTCATATTGAACGGCTGATTGTGAACTTGGAGATGTGTCAGCCAAGTAATTTACGTTGAGTATATGTGGTGTTATTATGATAATTATTTCAGTGAAATGCTCATTTTGTGATCCTACACATTCCATTAAGAATGTAAAATTTTTTAAAAATCATGTTTTTTATTAGAAAAAGCTAATTCTTATTGTAAGGCGGTTAGCTGCTATTGCTAAGTCAGTATTGCTATTGTGATGAATATTCTTGCGAGAATATCTCTTCTGAAGTGTATAGATGTCTATATTTGTCTTTTTTTTGTATAAAACAATGCAGATTTGAGACTTGTTGTTATCCGCTTGGGTATTCCCTCAATATGCCTGGGTATATCTGTCGGTATTTTCCCCATCAAGCGTCCTTCGCGTGCCTCGCAAAGGGTGCCGTCTGCAAAGAAAGCCCATTGACTCACTGCAATCCTTGAATTGCACGTAATTCTTCTTATTGATTTTTCCCTCTACATTCGGTTGCTACGGAATGTTTTTCTTTTCTTTGCTTACAAGGTTTTTCTGCCGACGGAACGATTGTAAGACGAATCGTTCTATCTGTCGTTTTGCTATCTTCAGTGTAGCAAGTGCATCTCTTTTGACATTTAAAAAAGTTTTTCTCCTACTCCTATGTTTTCAACGTCTCACAACTGTTGATCATGGCTTTGCACTCACATCCTATTTTTCTCAAACTTGTAATACGAGCTGACCTGCGTAGAATTGATCTTCTACCTTTCTTTCACATACTCATTCATCTCCTTCCGTTTTTCTTTCGCCGCATCCGTTTTTTATTCGACAAGCAAGGATGGGGAAGGTTCTTTTGAATGTTTGGGAATGAAAACTCTGTAACAACGAAGTGTGAATTTTCTTTTATAAAAATTTGAGACGTGGACAGGGCCCGAGTCAAAAGCAGGAAATCTTGAACTCTATAAATCATTACTCATATACTTGCACTTTTCTTCCGACTACTGCATGAGTGCGTTTTTTTTCTCTCCTAGACCAAAGTAGACTGGAACCCCAGACTCAAGATCGATCTCTTGGTCCATTATCTTGTTTTACCGTTCTTATTAAGTTTTGCTGAGACTTCTGGCCATCAGTCACAGTTGATTTTTGTCGATTTTTTGTCAGTGGAGGTGCCGAGTCATCTATTTAAATACTTCCTATGTGAAGAATCTCACAAAATTCTTAGTATGCATGTTCATGGGAGGCCTGATATCTCGATTTTTATTCTTCGATTTTATCCTTGCATGCTTCCTCTTCGTCATTCTTTCACTCGATTTACCAGTTAGCTTGCAGCATCTGAGTAGTAGGATCTCTTTTTTTGCTTTATCGATCTCAAGATGTTGGTAGCAATCGGAGTGCAGTCATTTCATCTGCACCAGTTGTTTGCTGCTCTCATCCGTTCTCTGCACTTTTGAGCAGTAGAGTAGAACAGTCTTTGAAGTTTATCATTATTCTTTAGTGAAAAAAAAAACTAATATTGCTGCTGTGAAGTCAGCCAGTAATCGAAAGATTTTTTGAGTTGGTGTCAAAATATGCTCAATGTTTCTTTTTACTCAAGTACGTATATCTGCACGTTTTTTATTATTCCATCCTCCTAGTTTCAATATTTTTCCTGAAATTCGAAGTAACAAGGCAGATTCTCCCTGGTAGTTATTTTTTTATAACCGAAAAAGATTTTTCCTCTTAGGTTTCAAGTGTAGTACCAAACGAATATTTTGAATGTTGGAGGTTTGCTGTGGAAGAAAAGAGGCACAAATATAATTCAAGACTTGTCGCAAAATCAAGATTCATGCAGTGCATATTCCTGAAGCTGGATTTCGACCTTGTAGCTTCCATTAAACATCCTTCCCTCTCCCGCGGAGCTATTATCTTAATTTGATTATGTGATCATGCATGTATTCTTTTAATTATGTGGCATTTTGCAATAACTCAAGTAAGTCCTAAATCATGGCTGCTATTTGAGAGATTTGGGCGGAATCTTGTCAGAGTTGTAGGAATCTTCCCAAGGAGTTTCGGAGGGACTAAAGCCGCGCTTCCTTCTGACTTGTAGGGGAAAGGATGTCTTTTTCTTTCCGAAAAAAAATTTCAAAACCCATTTGCTATATTTTACTTTGGTGAAGGTATTTGAGATAACGCTGCGCATCCTACTGCCAGCCGTAATTATTTCAGATGAGAGCTGCGCTGGTGCAATTTTTTGTGAATGTAGAAGTAATTTCCATAGGCGCAGGCAATGATTCGCTCATGACTCACAGAGTGACTAGTTATACTGTAGTTTGCGATCGAATATGAGTCAGAATTATTGAGATCGCAATAAATTCTTTATATGAGATTTGGATTCTGCTCCCTCGAACAATGATGTAGAACTTTTACAGGACTCGCGCTACTTGTAATTATATGTCTCTGGAATTTGGGGAATCTCCTTCAATAAATATTTGAAATTCTCTGTCGAAATTCAAGACCACGGAGTGATTATAGATCATTTGGATCTGTAATCATATAATCTGGAATCTTGGTTCACGACGAGAGTGTTGGAATGAAAGTTCATAATGATACATTTGAAACTTTGAAGTGCTCGAACTCGAGACGGGAAAGACAAACTTGAACTATAGTGAACTGAAAGTACATAGTTCTCGCCGTTCGCTTACAGTTTTCGCAACAGTTCAACGTGCCAGCAAACTTACACCTCAAAGTGCCCATAGAAAAGCAAAAAACGCACCATTTATGTAGCCTGTAATTGAAATGTCAAACTCAAGGCAACTCTTATATCGGCGACCTTGATTTTTTCACAGGCATCTAAAAACCTTGCAATTGGCGATTGCTGAAGATTCATGCTACAAAGCGTCAAGATGTTATATTTATGAAAACAAGCGTTATTTTTCAATGCAGTTTGGAGTACTTGTATTACTAAATCCTAGTGAAAGCTAGAAGGTTCTGCTCTATTTTATCTAGCGGCATTCAAAGGTATGTTCATGTCAACTCAGACAATCGCAAAATACTTCTGGGAATAACTAAAGTTCTAAAACTTTTGAAGGGACATTCCATTGGAGCTGCCAGGTATAAAGAGCGCGGCGCGGCCCAATAGGAGCGTCGCCACGGAAGTTTTAGAAGTTCAGTTTGCACGGAAGTATTTTGGGATGTCTGAGAAGTTGACCAGGGAGGCCATCCGATACTGATCGCGATATAATCATTTGATAACGATTTTTTTTCTAATGATTATTGATAGCAGAGGTGCTAGATCATGGATTCGCATCTATTCATTGGGGATGGGAGGTGGAGAAATTTTACATGCTGATCTTGGACTTCGTAGTTTGAATGACAGAGGTTTGAAAAAGTTTTTGCAGAAATATTCCTGGTGTGGTCCGTAACTACCATACTTTACATAACAAAACAACTTTTAGTCCTAAGATCAGTCTCATGATTTTTTAAAAAATTGAAAGTCTGCTCGTACAAGCACTTTTCATTGGCAAGATTTGGAGAACCAAGCCTCAAAAAGCGGCCTTAATTTCGCTTCTCAGCCTGCTTGTAGAAAATATTAAAGTGGCGCTAGCTAGCCCGAAAAACCTGCAATTTCTCTCATAGCTGTATCCATACATCCTTAAAGGCAGTGTCCGGACAAAAAGTCGATTTTGAGATTTTGTGCTTATCCGGGCCTATTCACTATGCTGAATCCGAAAATCCACATCGGAAAGCGCGAAAACGGCAAAAAAGGGCTTTAAAGGCAGTGTCCGGGCAAAAACTCGATCTCAAGTTCTTTGCTTACCCGGGCCTATTCGCTACGCTGATTCCGAGAATGCACATTGGAGAGCGCAAAAACGGCGAAAAACGGCTCTAACACGGGAGGGAAATCAGCAGGTGGGCGGGGTCCTCCCCACTGTGAATTCACGCTCCCAGCTTCCAGAGCGATCTTCTCGGTTCCGATTTCAAGTCATGCATTCGCACCTGGTCGGTGGAGATATCAGGGCGCTAGAAGAGTTGGGAAGATCGCTCCAGAAGCTGGGACTGTGAAATTCATAGTGGGGAGGACCCCGCCCACTTCCGATGTACTTCCTGCGTTAGAGCCCTTTTTTGCCGTTTTCGCGCTTTCCAATATGGATTTTCGGATTCAGCATAGTGAATAGGCCCCAATAAGCACAAAATCTCAAGATCGACTTTTTGCCCGGACACTGCCTTTGACGCAGGAGGGAAATCGGAAGTGGGCGGGGTTCTCCCCACTGTGAGTTTCGCAGTCCCAGCTTCTGGAGCGATCTTCCCAATCCCTCTAGCGCCCTGAGATCTCCAACGGCCAGGTGCGCCATGACTTGAAATCGGAACCGAGAGATCGCTCTGGAAGCTGGGAGCGCAAGTTCACAGTGGGGAGGACCCCGCCCACCTGCTGATTTCCCTCCCGTGTTAGAACCGTTTTTTGCCGTTTTCGCGCTCTCCAATGTGCATTTCGGATTCAGCGTAGCGAATAAGCCCGGGTAAGCAAAAAATCTCAAAATCGAGATTTTGCCCGGACACTGCCTTTAATGCTGTACCGGAAATGCGAAAACAAAAAATTCTGGATGGTCGTGTTTCTGAGAAGCTTTATTACTCTACCTCTTTTTTCTCAAAGCAAAAACGATTTGACGCTCAAAAGTCGTCCCATTGTCCTAAGAAACGGCATCGATAAAGTGACTTTTCTGCAATTAAGTTTTTCACGAATTTTTTGTTTTTGCATTTTTATGCAATCAAAGCCTGTCACAGACGTATGAACTACTGCTATGTAAGAAAGCGGCACACGGGACTGTGGGTTTTATTTGAGAATAGACACTAATTTACGGTTTTCAAAGTGTGCTCTCTAAATGGTTAGTTATTTTGAAGCTGGAATGAAGAGCTGCATTCGGCCGAACGTCGTAAAGCAAAAATTTCCTCTCATTCTTCGCATACAAAGCCTTGAAATTAGATTTACGGCTTGAAGGTCTTTGAAATCCTTTTACACTACGCAGGAACATTCGCGCCAATTAGCTTAAACTCTCGCCCAGTACGGCACTTTAGGCCCAATCTGAAAGCATACGGTACTGTGCGGAGTTCAAATTGTTTTTTGTCGGGAATAATCGCTGGGCTAAGGCCTTTTAAACAAATCTACCTTAAAAACACAGGTACCAGATTTGTTTGGACATTGCAGTCACCGTATTTGATTTGTACAATTTTTTTTACCGATATCTCCTGTATTTTTGCTTTTGGCTAGTGCAAAGTTTTCAAGCTAAGCACGTTCAACTTGTGCACACATGGCTCGGTGCGAAAAGTGCAAGCTGGATGGAGCCGTTCAATATTCGTGTGGAGCATTGCGCTGCCTACTCTTACATACAATTGGCTGGTTTTTTGGTTTAAAAGCCTTTTGAAGTCTTACTCGGTGGGATCTTCTCTATACTACACTTTAATGTTGCTTAACTATCTTTGCATCTTCGAAATTTCATTATTTTCTCCCGAAACCAAAAAACCTTTTGAAAAGCACATCCACCTTGGGCGACTCCTCTGCTTGTCGGCGCCCTCCGCGAGCGACATGTTCTTTTGCCTTGTTTGACGTCTGCGTCTCTACATGCGCGTACACTCTCGTCGATTCAGATGCTGACCGCTCGTGTCATTTGTGCTCGCGCTTCGGCCGTCAACGCCCTCCTCTTCGCCTCGTCTAGGAATTTCTCTAGGACTGCATTCGCTATGGCTGGAGTAAGTTTTTTAAAGCTATTTCTGAAAGCAGTCGGGTTCTGTGATTAATGTTGGGCCAAATTTGAGGCGAAACGCAGTTCAATTAGCGCAAATTTTGTACCGTTACAGTAACAATAAGTAGTGTCACATGACTGGGATAGGGCTAGTCTGCTTTGCTTTCACTTTCTGGTTTTCTAGTTCCATTTGGCATTAAGACCACGCTTCACAATTATGGCAAATCCCTATTACAAATATCACCAGCGAGTGTGGCAGAATTGCTCTTTCATCTCTTCAAATGCTCAAACGAGGAAGTATGGCTGTTGTGGTAGTACTGTACTTTGCTGTGATTCAGATTCCCACATAGCTAAATTTTCATACCGATATTCGTTTTCATATATCATCGGTTTCCAGATTTGTGTGGAGCTGGAGTCTTGCCAACTCACAATGTGGCGGTTTTTGTGCTAGCAAAAGAGTACGAAAAGCAATCCAATAGAGGTTTAACAACTTTATCTTGTTATCAGGCAAAGTCTGCGATACACCTCCTCACGAATCTGGAAGCCGATCATGTTTTATGGCTTGCCTCGCACTTTTGGATTCATATAAAGTGAAAATGAAAGGATGACGAGCTTATGCTTAAGTATTATAATTCACTTTCAAGTGGTGGTTCGTTCTATTCGTTTGGTACTTTGATTGACCTTTATTTGAGTATTTGTGTGAAAGGATGTAGAGATTTAGCGAAGTAAGTAATGTAGTCAGTGGGGATATTCTGTTCTTGACATTGGAGAAGTCGGGAACCATATAGTTGAAGATTATCTATTTCCGTCAAGATTTTGCTCGTACCAATGGAAGAGATGTGTTTTTGACGTTACGTTGAGTAAAACGGGATTTTTTTTTGGAGTAAGTGTCAACCAAAGTTTACACTATCTTTTCACGGTGAATGGGGTTTTGATTACATGTCGGGAATTGTTTATTTTTTGTATATGTTTTCTTTATCCTAATGTAAAAGTCTTATCGATTGATTTAGGTTCGCAAGGAACGAGACACCTTTGGTGAACTTGAAGTGCCAGCTGACAAGTACTATGGAGCTCAAACCGCACGGTGCGTACATGCCTTTTTGCTTTGTTCAGGAAAAAATTTATCGGAAAGATTTACACAAGTTTGTCAATAGGCACGGTCGCTATAGCCTAGAATTTTGTATAGTTCATTTATAAAATCGTGACGACGGATTTGACTGCGCTTTGCGCCCACAGAGCAAAAAACACTTACATAAATGCAGTAGCTCAACTCTCACTTCCAGTGTTTGAATGCTATCATATGTAAGCAGAAAAAATTTGAAGTTGACCATTTAGAGATGAAATGTGAGAAAGTAACGGTTGCTGGGTATGCGTGCGTGTCGCGCGCGGTCGCGCCATCATCACTATTTTTCGAGTGACCTATAGATTGAGTGAACTTGGGTGGTGACTGAACAATTTGGTATATTTACGGAAATTCATGTAATTGCAGTTCAAAGATGAACTTCAAAATCGGTGGTCCGGAAGAGCGCATGCCAATTCCAGTCGTACACGCTTTTGGAATCCTCAAAAAAGCTGCTGCGATTGTAAGTGGATGATTTTTCCTTTGGCCGTATTCATCAACGAAACCCGTGGGTTCCGGAACCCACTGGGTTAGTGCTTTCGATGAATATCGACTCTACTGCAGGGAAGAATCGATATTCATCAAAAGCACTAACCCAGTGGGTTCCGGAACCCATGGGTTTCGTTGATGAATACGGCCACTTGTCTCTGATAAGATGGTGTTGTTCGTATTTCTAGGTCAACACCGAGTACGGCCTAGATAAGAAAATTGCCGATGCTATCTGCAATGCAGCTGGTACGATTTTTATTTTCACACTTGTACCTGGCTTGACCTTTGCTTCATATTTGATGCGCACGCCTAGTGACAGATCATTGTAAATAACGTTGTTGTCCGGTTTTTGATATCAGATTAGCACGCATGGACGGAGTGGAGTGGCAGTTAGATGCATTGTGACGCGTTCCATATCTGTCTTTGTGATGAATTTAAATCGGAGAGTGAGAGTAAAAATCATCGTGTTTTCTAGATGAGGTTATTGCGGGTAAACTTGATGACCATTTCCCTCTTGTTACATGGCAAACCGGATCTGGTACTCAATCGAACATGAATGTGAACGAAGTCATCTCAAACAGGTAATGAGGCTCTATTTGAATATTTTACCACTAACATATGAAAAACTGTAAAATAGTGAGGAAACTGAATACTCATCCCAGCTAAAAAAGAGTTGGACAGGAAATAATGCTGTGCTACCGAAGTGTTTCTTGTTCATTTTTTTGGGAAGAACAACAGTGATAACGTTTTAGTCTGTGATATTTTTATTCGCGGCTTTTTATCGAAAGAAATGTTGTCTTAGCGTCAGCGAAAGAATGATGTTTTTATCGCTGCGTTTGATGCTGTTTGCAAGCACTTGTACTCCAGTGGCTAATATGATTAGATTCTCCTATTTGAATAGAAACTTACTTTTTTTGTCCGAAATTCGCAGCCAGCTGCAGCCATTGACGTAGAGTCAGCTGACTCTCGAGGATGATTTAGTGGTTAGCACCAAAGTTTATTATATTAGCATTAGCTACTAAAGTTTACTGCATAAACTGCGCAATGTTTGTGCAGTGACGTATATCGTTTGCTTGTAGCTCATCTTTTGATGTGGACGGATTAGTACCAGGGGATTAAGTAAAGGAGATGGAAAAAGTGCACAGATTTTCGTGATGGCTTTACGGCTTCGCTCATCATGTTAACATCATGGGGATTGAGGATCAGAATATGGCGATTATATATCGCCTCATCTAGTACTGTGAAGTCCATAAGTACGTAAATTCCACGTCTCTTGTAAATTGTTGCATCAATAATAATTATGCAGTAGTGGCGGGCCCAGGATCTCCGTCTAGAGAGGGGTGTCAAAAAATTTTCTGATGAAGGTGTGCGGCGTGCCACGCACTCCGAAAATTTTTTCGAGGTGCTTTCCAAATTTTTGCGGGCCCATAACCCCTAAAATTTGGAAAAAAAGGGGACATGGTGGCAGCTAGCCCCCGAAAAGCTGACTTGCATTTCAAAATTCTTCTCCAAACTTTCAAATTACTTACAAAAATAAACAAGTCACTTGCACATATTAACCCATGTGAGTAAATTTCAAGAAACTGACAAGGGAACGATACTCGGTGTCCGTGGCCTTTTGAAATGAGATGTATACCATTACACTCGCCTTGGAACCGTGATTCCAAATCCTACTTCCGTTTCTGCTAATCGCTTCAAAGATGTTATCATGGATTGCGCGGAGTTTGGCTGCCCAGTGAAAATCTGTCGGAGCACGAATGCCATAGGTGCGCTGTGGTCTAGTGGTTAGTGCGATAACCTCATGAGCTGATGCAGGTCTAGGTTCGAGTCCTTTTGTGTTTTTTAGTTTTGCGTTGCCTCAATTAACCTTCTTTCACATCCTCAAGTTAAGTGAACGCTCTTACTCTCGAAAAAATGTGGAATTTTGGAAAAAATGACTACTGTTTACGCTAAAATGTATTCAATGGTCATAATTCGAGTAAAGCTTTCTCGAACAAGCTTAATTGAGGCAAAAGTAATGCAAAAGTAAAAACGCAAAGGATTTGAACCTACATCAACTTATGAGGATATCGCACTAACCATTAGACCAGAACGTGGTCGCGGGAGGCCGTTCCAATGACCATATTTTCCTCAAGCGGGCAAACTTGGATCGAAATTCCTTCATAACTTCTTTCAGAGAAACGATTAGCAGAAACGGAAGTCAGATTCGGAATCAGCGTTCGAAAACGAGTGTAATGGTATAAATCTCGTCTCAAAAAGCCACGGACATTGAGTATCGTTTCCTTGTGAGAAGTATGTGAATAATCAAACTGAAAATTCCATAAAAGCTCAAATTAGTTCTGAAAAATTCATTTTCAATAGCGACGAGCTCACTAAAAGTGGAAAGCATCTCGGGAAATTCTTGAAGGGTATCTGGTAGCTTACGACAACAAGCCAAGGAGTAAGAGCAAACTGAGTTCAATTTGAGACGCAGTTTTGTCAAAACTCCTGCAAATTCACTGTATCTCTGATCTAAAAAACCCTGTTTTTCTGTTTCCTCAGCGATTAGATTTCGAAATTTTAGTGGAAATATGGGCGCAGGAGGAGATTTCTTTTATGGCCAGCATTGAATTTTTCAGGGCAATTGAAATGCTTGGAGGACAGTTGGGTTCAAAGACACCTGTGCACCCCAACGATCATGTGAACATGAGTCAGTCTAGCAATGACACGTTCCCCACCGCAATGCATATCGCTGTAGCTAGGGAGGTGCGCAGCTGGAAAAACGTCTCTAGAAGAGTTCAAGAGTGAATTTTTAGGTCAATGCCCGTCTTCTACCAGCACTGAAACAGCTTCATGACTCACTTGAGAAGAAATCGAACGAATTTAAGGACATCATTAAGATTGGCCGTACTCACACTCAAGATGCTGTGCCATTGACTCTTGGTCAGGAGTTCTCTGGTTACGTGCAACAGGTCAGAATTACTTCTTTGCTTATACACTCCAGAGGTTTCCATGGCCATGATTGTAGGTTGAAAACGGCATCGAGCGCGTTAAGTCAACATTGCCTCGCCTTTACCAGCTAGCTGCTGGTGGTACAGCAGTAGGAACTGGTTTGAACACTCGTAAGGGCTTTGCAGAGAAAGTTGCAAAGTAAGTTTTGAGATATGTTAAAAGTCCTGTTTCCAAACTGTATGTCTACAGGACCGTCTCCGATCTTACTGGATTACCATTCACTACTGCACCCAATAAATTCGAAGCTCTAGCTGCGCACGATGCTTTAGTAGAAGTTCATGGCGCTTTGAACACCTTAGCTGCGTCATTCATGAAAATCGCCAATGATATTCGTTTCCTTGGCTCTGGACCAAGGTTAGCATTTCGAATTGGCACTTTGCGAGACACGATCATGCTGATTTTGTAGATGCGGTTTGGGAGAGCTTTCTCTTCCCGAGAACGAGCCTGGAAGCTCAATCATGCCTGGAAAGGTCAATCCCACTCAATGTGAGGCTATGACCATGGTTGCTGCACAGGTCATGGGTAATCAGGTAATTCATCATATCGCATTGTATTACTCTGGAAAATGCTAGAAGTCCATAGGTTGCTGTCACTGTCGGAGGTTCGAATGGTCACTTTGAGCTGAACGTCTTCAAGCCACTGATGGTCAAAAATGTTCTGCAGTCTACCAGGTAAGTGAATTCAGTCTTCGTTTTTTATGTCTTCCTTATGAGCATTTTTTGAGGCTGCTGGCTGATGTTGCTGTCTCATTCTCAGTGAACTGCGTTGATGGCATCAAGGCTAACAAGGAGAATATCGCTAGGGTAGGTAGACTATCATAATCTAGTTTTGATTTTGCCATATTTTCTTTTACAGATTATGCGCGAATCACTTATGCTTGTCACTGCTCTTAATCCACATATCGGCTATGACAATGCTGCAAAGATTGCTAAAGTGAGTTTTAAATTCTTGCCGCTTCTGGTTTTTTATTTGACCGCCTGCAAACTGGGCTCTTTTTCCAGACCGCCCACAAGAATGGCACTACATTGAAGGAAGAAGCAATCAAGTTAGGCATCCTAACAGAGGACCAGTTCAACCAATGGGTGAAACCAGAAAACATGATTGGACCCAAGTGAACTTAGGCTGTTAAGCCTGACGTGTTGTGAACACAAAGAACTAAAGCCGGTTGTTTCTGTTCATTGTTTCTGCATTTTAATTAGAGAGACCTTAGTTGTAGAGTTTACTAATGAAGTGTATTGTATTTATTGACATATGTCTAGTAGTTATAAATTAGTTAGTGCTCTTTTTATGTGCTGTGTAACACTGTAAAATTTCGAAAAAACGACAGATGGTCAGTTATCAACTGTGATCGATTTTAACCTCACGTCCTGCCTCGTGCTCCCTCCCGCAAATGTTTTCCTTTGAGGAAAAAAACAGAGCCAGCAGCGACCGCTGCGCTGTGCATCGATGCGCGAATGGAAAGAAGAATAGCGATGCATTGGGCACACTGAGTCAGCGCAAGGGCGACTCACAAATGCATCTTGATTGCGGTAAGAAAGGGATGGGGGATGGGACTCTGGGATGTAAAGGGGAATTCTTGTACGAGCCTAAGTACGGTAGGCGCACGGTAGGGAGTCATTTTTTACGAATGCACAAACTTATCTGACAAGGCTTCAAGGTGATTATAAACGAGAAAAGGACTTATCTTTAAGTGAACCTATATGAAAGCTATGAGGCGGGCTTATCTGGGTCAAAAAAGCGGACTTTTCTGTGGGATTTTAGGGTAATTCATTAGCTGCTGACAGTAAACGTCTACCTAACGTGCACGAACAATATGCAGTCACTTCTATTAGGTTGGACCGAAAGTTCTGTCGGATTATATTCAAAAAATCGTAACTTCTATTTCTCACAACGTTCCTGCTCAAATTAAATTTATTTGAAAGAAAATGGCTGAGTGAAAAATCATGCTTTTTCTAATGACACCTTGATTGCGGTTTACTACTGTGTGATTGCAGGGATAAAAAGGGAAATGAAAATCACTTCAGGTTCGGAATTTTGAGGCAAGCCCGTGCAAAGTTCAAACTTTGCAAGAAACCCAAAACAGCCAATATAAATAAGCTTTCTAATCACCTCTTTCTATATGAGCAAAGCTTGTGCTAATCGAGCTCCTCTTTGAAAAGTTATGATTTTTGGCAAAGAATGCCGAAAAATCAATTTCTTAAGAAGATTGGTTTTTGGCCTTTTTTCTAAAAAATTAGTTTTTTTAAAGAGGAACAGGTTGGCACAAACTTTGCTCATTAAGGAGAGGTCGGAATACTTAAATATTGGCTGTTTGGGGTTTTATTGTAAAGTTATTGAATTTTTAACGGGCTTGTTTCAAAATTCCGAACCTGAAAGGTGGTTTTCTTTTCCCATTTTTATCTTTGCAATCGCACTATAGTAGACAGCAATCAAAATGTCATTAGAAAGAGCATACCGAGATATAGCGATGTGACGCAAATATCGTGGACTCAGTGGCAATTATCTTTTCTCCACAAATGATGAGCGGTATCGTGGGTGCAAAGAGCTGGTCTGCCTATTCACAAATCTAAAGCAACAGTTTCCGACATTTCAATGCATTTTAATTTTAATCATTTTGAAATTCTAAACATTTAAATTCTTCATGTTTATATTCTCATCCAGCGCACTGAATATCAAAGTCATTTTATGCATTTGCGGATTTACAATAGTATGAGAAAGCTGTCGAGATGATGCATAATCGGAGAATGAATTCCATTAACGGGGAAGAATAATTGATCGGGAAGTCGGAAGTCAAAAGCACTTGAGTCTACACTGCCTCATTAAAATGAAATAGGTATTCCTTTCCTGGCAGTGTAGGAACACTCTCAATTTCGCTTACCGCTTCATCTTCTACAATTAGTAATTTGGAATGATGCATCCGAGTCTTAATCTTGATAATGATAACGACCACGTATATAAGCATCAAAATGAATAGTAAGGAACATTTTGTGCTACTCGGTGTGTGTGCGGTTCATCAAAGTCAAAATCCTAGTTCTCTACACTAATTCGTCTCGCTCTTAATCATGGCAGTGAGTACCTTAGGCCTGGACAAAAACCCACCGGCTTCCAAGATAAGCAGAAAGCTTCTGCTTTAGACTCGAAAGGAATGTGATGCTTTTGGTGAAGTAGAAGTGCCAGCCAACATGTACTATGGGGCGCAAACAGCAGGGTAAGTTTCGAGGACTGTTTAGCGGGATAGCTGTCGATGACTCCTAGCGGATGTGAGAAGGCTAAGTGGATTCTGACGAACCCATTGACCTCTTTGGGTTCGAATACCGTTGTAAGTTCAACCATGACGGCCACGAAAACAGGACCCTTTGTTCGCGGCAGAGTTGGCGGTGTTGCACCGTAATTTCCATCCGACTCGATCGGCTGCTTCTGATGTTACTACCCTAAAATCCGGCATATAAGTCCGCCTCTCAGATAAGACCGCAGAAGAACTCTCAGTTAAGTCCGCTTTCATGACAGCCTCGCGCCGCCAAGTCCCGCGGATAAGTCCGCCTTATTTTTTCACATGAAAACAAGAAGGATGCGCAATTGCGCTGCCTTTTTTTGGTCTCAGAATGAACCGAAGCAACAGATCTTTATTCAGGTAGCATTCCATGTTCATCATCATCAGAAACATTTACGGCAAGAACGCGGCAAAAAGAACGATCATCATCAGCGTTATCATCAGCAACAAGCAAAGCGTCGAAATCCTCGTTCATGGCAGATCATTGATTCGTCATCGAGAGCCCTGGTAAAACTGTTCGCAATGGTTTCTTCAGTAATCGCATTGAAACTCTCGTAGACTAGTGCTGCTACTTCGCCGTAGGTCATTCTTTTCCTGGCACCGCCTTTTGTGTATCTTGCTCGTGCTGCATCGGCCATCCATCTTCGAACCAGACGATCAGAGACTTCGTAGCGAACAGCGGCAGCCAAGTTCCATGTTGCAGGGCATATTCCACCACGTTAAGCTTAAAAAGCGACGTGTAGGACTTCCTTCTGGGAGCCATTGAGATCCGAGATACCTTAACAGCTTGAGTCACAGCGTGTGAGAGTATGTTGGAAATATAAGGCTCTGTGGTGATTGCGAACTTCGCTGAGTTAGCGGTCATTGCACACTGGAATCACGCGGAGTCCTATAAATTTGCGCTGATCATCGAAGGGTTTACTCTTTTGCAAGAAAAAGCAAGCGACATCAAATTTGACTACACTATCTTTTGTCTTGGATGTACGGGCTTAATGAAACAACAATTGAGAATAAGAACAAAGAAGCCTAACGCTTTGCTAGGGTTGAGCGTTTTTAGACTGCCACTCTTTCGTTCATTAAAGCATTTGACAAAAGCCGTAGTGAAAAAAAAAACAAAGCATTTGACAAAAGCCTTATGGCGTGGGTCAACAGAGACTACGTTCAGACCATGAAAACAATAGAGGAAGCAAAAAGTATAGGCAGTCATGTTCAAGGGTTGTAGCCTGTACAGGTTCGAGAGATGTATTGAAAACATTGTGGCTTCCAAAACGATAAGATGAATGATAAGATGAGATGATTGCAATGAAACAATGAAAAAACCTATTATGATTTTTCCGACAGAAAAATTCCATGTGTACAAGCACTGTCTTATACAGGGTGTCCCAAAAAATGTGCCTACTGTTTGATTGTAAATAACTCTCTTGTGATGAAGTGTTTCGAGAAGCTTTAGGTACCGTTTTATAGAGCGAGGCTGAACTTAGGTTTTCAGTACGGAGCGAATCATCTACCGCTTTTCATTACTTCAGGCTTACGGTAGAAACTTAGACGAGAATTTTAGGCCTTTGGAGGCTATACTCTGCCTCGGAACAAAACCAAACAAGGCAAAAACTCTTCTACTACGGTAATGGGAGCAGCTGATTTCGAATTTGAAATCCCCATTTTGCTATGATGCTTCTTTTCTAAGTTATCCCCGGTAAATCGTAACAACTCAATTCCCAGCATTTGCCAAAAATGTGATTACACCGTCAAAAAAGCTGAATACACTCGTGAAAAGTTGTTAGGAGGAATCAGTATGCGCGAAAATCCTAGTACATGATTTTTCAGATTTTTTCAAAAAATTTTGTTAGGTGGTATATTTCACAATGGTTCCATGCGCTGGAATTCTTACCGTAATCCTACAGTAATGAACAGCGATAGATGATTCACTTCATACTGTAAATCTAAATTCAACCTCGCTCTACAAAACGGTGCTTAAAGCATTTCGAAACAATTCATTACAAGGGAGTTATTTACAATCAAACAGTAGGCACATTTTTTGGGACACCCTGTATAGGAAAAGAACCCACCAGCGTATGTGATGACCAATCCGCGACGAAACTGTCAGCAAGTACTGCACGACTTGTCGAATCCTTTGGCGGTCTCTTTTAGGGGAGTTCACGGCTTGATTCCAATCGCTGAAACATGTGATATCCAGAACAACTTTTCTGTAGCCTTTTGCAAAACTACGAACCGTTTGTGTCCTTGTACTTCGTCAATTACCGCTTGGAACTGAGTATACGCGACGATCAACGTTCTAAAAACGCTTTGTAGGAGATGCATGTACTGTAGTTAGCCTACATTAAAAGTCTCCCCTGCCTAGTATTTGCTGGCAGCGGGGTGAAATCCGACCTTACCATCGTGTCATCAACTTCAATACAAAAGAAATGTCATATTAAAGAGAAGAACTCACCTATCCAGCGTATGCGGTGATGAATCCGCGACGATACTGCCAGCAAGTAGACTGTACGACTTGTCGAATCCTTGGGCTCTTCCTTTCAGGCGATATCGCGGCCTCGTTTAAATCTACAGTGGCAAGCCACGCGGGCGGTCGCGCGCGTCTGTGCTCCTAGGTCGCGCTTGCTCATGCTCAGGACAGGCGGGCTTATCTGTGAGTGGATTTAGGCGGACTTATCTGGGAGACCTTTTGGCGGCGCTGAGGGCGTTTTTCCATCGATCTTCCTGCCAAAACTGCAGATAAGTCCGGACTTATATGCCGAATTTTAGGGTATATCGTATCACACCGTAAAAGTGACCATTACCATCATAACCTTGCTCCAAACATTTTCCGCGATTGGAGACTCGAGAAATGTAAACCACATCGGTGTCCGTAACACCGTTTTCGGCAAGTCCAACTATCCATTCTATCTTGCGTGTCTCCATCGTGCTCAGGATCTGCTCATGCTTCTCAATCGCTGGCCAACATTCTCTTCTGTACAAGGCGACTGGTCGTAACCATGGTCCGATAAACTTTTGGTTTGAGGGTATACTGGAATTCAACGATCAGGGTACTCCTGTCACCTGACGCCATTTTCAGCCACGCCTGTCATTCTAGCACGGATGTGATTGTTTCGCAATTCGGCGTTACTCGGGAGCCCAGGTACTCAAATGTAGTAGCTTTCTTCGTTAGCTGTCCGTCGATGTTGATTGTTCCGCCGGTTTGCTCCCCGCATTCCAGGTTCTCAGTCTTTCATACAGTCGCAAGCCTTATTCGGATAAACCGTCTTCCATTTCATGGTTGCTTCTTCGAGCTCCTGGCCCAATCCACTCACAAGCTTGGCTTCATCCGCATAGAGGAGAGTCCACGGGCGCGACTGAATGTCCCTCGTCACCATATATGCACAGTATAAAGAGAAGTGGTGATAGAGCCGATCCTTGATGTAGGATTGGTAATGGCGATGACGTTTCCATCGCACAGCGCCCGGCCTTCTCGTTCCGCACAAAGGAGTTTGACCCAGCGTACGTACTCTTTTGGAACCTGCTGCATACCAAATCAGCCTGCATGTATCCAATCAAATACCTTTTCTAGATCTAAGAATGCGAATTGAATCGGTATCCGCTTTCAAACGGCGTTCCACTAGCAGGCTTACGGCATGGATGGCGTTGAATTACCAGATCCTTTACTAAACCGCAATGACTTGGGGTGACTTCCACCATATTTCAAATGTGCATGTCGATGACTCGCTCGAGAATCTTCAGTGTGTGGCATAAGAGGCGTATCGCTCAATATGTGACAGCCACTGAAGTCCCCTCGTTCTTTCGGACAGGGATCGTGATAATCGTCAAATAAATTCGTGGTCCTTCCTTTGGTGATGATGCGATAAAAGATGATGTAAGAAAAGTTACTCCACATTGTCCCATCATCATCAATACTTCAGGAGATATGTCGTCCAATAATGTAGCCTACATTTGGACATTTTCATCCCACTCCCCTAGCTTTCGGAGCGATCTTCTCCCTTCCTTTCAAGTCGCGAATCCGCTCGGGCTGTCGTGATGTTAGGACGGGTAGCGTTGTGCGGGACTGGTGGGTGCGGAAACTCAAACTCCTCATCGCATAGGCCTTGTTAGTACTCACTCAATCCTTGAGTACTGCCTTCGGCTGGGTAGGGGAAGGAACGCCGTCAGTTTGAGCGCCTCGCAGCGAACTGGTCCTTCTGCAGTATTGCTGCATCGCTCCAGAACCAGCAGTCCGCGGAGGCGGCCCAAACTGGCGTCATTCGTTGAGACGTCGCTAGACTGACTTGAACCATCACCAGATCCACTTGCCAACAACCTGCGTCCTGGCCGGGTGCTCCCCAAGGTCTCCAAGGCTCTCGATCGTATCGGCGAAGTAATCCGATCCCATCTGTCTTCAATCGACTCTATCGTTGATCGATAATTGCAGAGCGTTTAAAGCTTTCTTTATTTTCCGGCGGTGGAATAGCTTCTTGCATCACTTGATCCTCTTTGTGATTGTCATCCTGTCTCGTAGATGCAAATTGACGTCTGGCGGATATCCAACGCGAGCAGGCCATGTTTTCGCGCAAATGCATATGCCGAGGTATGATCGTCTCCACGATTCGTGTAGAGATGTATTGCAGGCTTTGCCTGATAACACAGGTAAACTTGTTAAGCCTCCACGTCATAGCATTGTTCTTCGTACTCTTTCGCTATCAAAAACCGCCACGCTTTGAGTTGGCAAAACCCCGCCTCTACACGAATCGTGGAGTCGATGATGTAATAGGTATGACTTCAATGTTAATCACCAGCAGCAGAGGTTGAGATAGTCGCTGAGGTTTTTAGTCGCTTATGTGATCAAATGTGGTCGCGCTTTATGAAAAACATATTAACGATGGTCAAATCATGTGCTACGTCGGCTTCTAGAATGCGTTCCCCGTCTTCGTGCCTTTGATGGTATCATTTCCAACATGACTCCTGAAGCCATCATGTGCATGGCCAGGGTTGTTGAGGTTCTCCTACGAAATGTAGTCTGCGGCATCGAATGTTCGTAGCTAGATTCAAAATAATTCCAAAATGTCCTTTTCAGCATCGGTGTTTACTTCGTGTAGATTAGTCTGCCTTCTCTTATATTTCATCTTCCACACACGCGATGTCGATGCGTCGCTCCTTCAAATATCGCATAAATTTCCACTGCGACTTATCAGTGTTCCTATGTTCGTTGCTACTCGAAATTCCTGGACTCTCTTCTTTGACGTACCTGTCTCGGGCAGGTAGTTCCAGCTCACTTTTCGCTTCATGAGGGCAATGCTGTAGAAATTCTTGGTAATCCGATGCACGTGACACTAACGATTCGTACAGAAGTGGCGAGTCGCTTCGACTGACAGGACAATACCCTCGTCGTTTGCTATAGTTGGTTGTCGTTGCGGCTGGACTGCAGGAAGGCGACGATGGCACTTGGGTGCAAAAACAGAAACTCTGTTGCCGACAAAAACGATGTAGTATTTTCTTCGTCAAAAAAGCTATGAGCAGGGTCAAGCGTGAGGTGTGGCACGCCACACCTGGGGGTCGTCTTGAGGAGTCAAAAGGGGAAGGGGTCGTAGTTGGGTAATCTGATAATAGTGATAGCATAATATTCGTAATATCCATAATTAGCATGTCAATCAACCCCTGTAGACAAAGTTTGAGCGAATTCTGAAGATTTAAGATACTAGGCTACCTAAGTGAAATGGTCATATTCCAACATGGTTAAGTTTGTTTCAAAGGTGAATTAGCTATCGTTTTTGCATTCAAAACAAAGCACTACTCCTTCTTTGTCCATCTCAGGAATCCCGCTTCAAAAGACCTCCAAACTGTGTAATTAGAAGCCAACCAAAATCTCATTTTTCCCATTTTTCGCTTTCAATGGCTGTGATTTCACCCAATATTACTTAGAGCTAAGAAGACGAATCAGGCTCAAATCACTCATGTGAAAACTAGGAGATCTAGGGTATCGGTCCATATAAACATGGTTTGCTAGAAATGTTTTTATGACATAGTTAATGGGTGTGGCACACCCCCTTCAAAGCTGTGGCTGCCACAGCTTTTAAGGAGGTGTGTCACACCCCATTAACTATATCAAAAAAACATTTCTAGCAATTTATGTTTACATGGATCGATAGCCTAAACCTCGTAGATTCCATAGGAATGTTTTGAGCCTAATTCGTCTTCTTAGCTCTGAGTAATATTTGGTGAAATCACAGCCATTGAAAGCGAAAAATGGGAAAAATGAGATTTTGGTTGGCTTCTAATTCCACAGTCTAGAGTCTTTTGAAGCGGGATTCCTGAGATGGACAAAGAAGGAGTAGTGCTTTGTTTTGAGTGCAAAAACGGATAGCTAATTCACCTTTAAAACAAAGTTAGCCATGTTGGAATATGACCATTTCACTTAGTTAGCCTAATATCTTAAATCTTCAGAATTCGCTCAAACTTTGTCTACAGGGGTTGATTGACATGCTCATTATGGATATGTTGCCCATAATGTTTGACAGGGCCTTCAGGTAATGCTTTCTTAGGTATATAATTCAGTGGAGGGGTCTTATTAAGGCCCGCATGCACTAACATCCCCGCGGGGAGGGGATCGCAGCTTAAAAGAAAGCTTTATATTTCGAAACTTTAGATACCTGGATTTCACGTTGTGTACCTATCCGTAAGTATTCCTATTACCCTTCACTATGAACATGTTGAACAGGAACGAGAAGCTGTACAAACCGCATTTTCCAGCTTTTGTATGATCCCTGATGATCCCTGGCGCTTTTCTTCAAAGTCATTTTTCTTTCTCAGAAGTTAACGAAGAATCTCCAGAGTTGTGCAGATTGTCTAACCCGACAGTGCTAAGCATATTGCTGCTAAGAACAAATGATGTTTTGGAGTCATGAAATTTGCGATGATCCACAGGTCGAAATTTGAGGCTTACCGAAAAATTCGACTTTTCAAAAAGATATTTGTTCTCATCAGCAACATGCTTAGCAGTATTGTGTTAGATGTTCAGTACAACTTTGGAAGGTTTTCGTTAACTTCGGAGAAAGAAAAATGACTTTAAAGAAAAGCGCCGGGGATCATCAGGGATCATACAAAAGCTGGAAAATGCGGTTTGTACAGCTTCTCGCTCCTGTTCAACATGTTCATAGTGAAGGGTAGTAGGAATACTTACGGATAGGTAGACAGCGTGAAATCCAGATATCCGGAGCTTCAGGATATGAAGCTTTCTTGTGAAGCTGCGATCCGCTCCCTGCGGGGATATTAGTGCATGCGGCCCTAAGGGCCGCATGCACTAACCTCCCGCGGGGAGGGGATCGCAGCTTAAAAGAAAGCTTCATATCCTGAAGCTCCGGATATCTGGATTTCACGCTGTCTACCTATCCGTAAGTATTCCTACTACCCTTCACTATGAACATGTTGAAGAGGAGCGAGAAGCTGTACGAACCGCATTTTCCAGCTTTTGTATGATCCCTGATGATCCCTGGCGCTTTTCTTTAAAGTCATTTTTCTTTCTCCGAAGTTAACGAAAACCTTCCAAAGTTGTACTGAACATTTAACACAACAGTGCTAAGCATGTTCCTGAGAAGAACAAACGATGTTTTGAAGTAATGAAATTTTCGATGATCCACAGGTCGAAATTTGAGGTTTACCGAAAAATTCGACTTTTCAAAAACTCATTTGTTCTCATCAGCAACATGCTTAGCACTGTTGTGTTAGATGTTCAGTACAACTTTGGAGGTTTTTCGTTAACTTCGGAGAAAGAAAAACGACTTTAAAGAAAAGCGCCGGGGATCATCAGGGATCATACAAAAGCTGGAAAATGCGGTTTGTACAGCTTCTCGCTCCTGTTCAACGTGTTCATAGTGAAGGGTAGTGGGAATACTTACGGATAGATACACAACGTAAAATCCAGGTATCTGGAGTTTCGAAATATAAAGCTTTCTTTTAAGCTGCGATCCCCTCCCCGCGGGGATGTTAGTGCATGCGGCCCTAAGACAGCAATCAGGGGAGGGGGGTCGTAACCAGCGATCGTGTGCCACATCCCTTGCTTGACCCTGGCTATGAGGGGATGTATGTCAAGAGGCGCGATTTTTATTGCCAGCTGGACACCAAATAGCACATAATAAGTGTTCTGCAACTTTCCAAAGTACATGAAATTTAGAAGACGATATTTTAGATAGTTACATGAGTTGCCAAATCTTGATACCCTAGAAAAAACTCAAAAGAGCAATTTTGAAGGTTAAAAACTCATGAAAATGCATTTCAGAACAAATTTGTAAATATTTCAGTCCGATTTATAACAAAAACCATGAAACTCAGCAAGTGGTGACCTCAGACAGATAGTAAGCTAATGCACTTTATCTGGTAATTTTTGAAGACTCGCATAGCACTAAACTGAAGTTTTAAGTTGGTGACAGCCAGAGAAATCGCGCCTCTTGACCGTCTCCCGCTATGAGGTACACTCATCCCAGTCCAGAAATAACACTAATTCATACGTATGCCAGTGCTCTTTCATTACTAAGCAGGGAACGGTCAGAGTTTAACCCAACCGATTCAAACAAGCTGTGTATCATCGGACTCACCTTGAAACGCTGTTTTCAAATGTAAGTTTGTTATCTGCCAAGCGGCTAACTCTACGGAGTCATGGGCGTTCAATCGTGCTCTTTGTCAAGTGTTCTTTGGCGCATAGTTGACGAAACACGTTTCAAAAACACTTACTTAAGTTTTTGGTGCATGTATTTCTTCCTTGTAAATGTTTTACCTATAGGCAATGTTGATTCGCGCCATCAGGCTGTCTTTTAATGACCTATATCCCTTGGAATTCGAATAATTTCTCTTATTTAAACTCGCCCATAACTTCGTGATAGTCGCTTGGCAGATAACAAAGCTATATTTGAAAACATCATAACTTATAATAACGGGCTAAGCATGTTTACGTGACTTTGTGTGTCTGTGTGTGTGTGTGTGTGAGAGTGTGTCTGTTACGAAATTCGTAGAGAGTGTTCCAGCCAACCTCCTCGGCTCAAATTTTGCACAGCGCATGCTATCCGCATGAAAGTCCAACACGCAAAAGCACGAGCAGATTCGTTGAGTGGATCCTTCAGAAACTGCGCGTCAAACGGATCCACTTTGCATTTGGGCCGCATGATTGGGTCCGTAATTCCACTTTTTGCAAAGTAGTGGATGTTTATGCCAAGTAAAAGTGCAAATCATGAACTTAGACCCAAAAAAGTTTTCAAAAGTCCAGTACTTTAGAAAAACGGCGCCAAAAAGTATTGGTTGCGTAAATGGTCAATTTGCCAAAGTTTTAACAGACCTTTTGACAAGATTTTTGCACAAAGATGTAGCTCACGGTGACTGCTATTCTTACTGCAACTGTCAAGACCATGGGAAAATGAAAAACCTTTAGAAATTTGCGTTTGTTCTCCTGCAAAAAGTCTCATCTACACGAAATCACCGATTTCACATAAAAAAGCTTTCGAAATGAGTAGTTGTTTACATTTTGTTCGTGATAGTCAGCATTGCTCGGTGAGTTCCAATGCCATCATTATGCGAGAATGAGTGGGGCCTAGATAGTAGAGCCAGTGCGAGCCTCTGCGAAGCAGAGGTGACGCACTGGTGACTGATACCTTGATTGTGGAAATGTGGAATCCTAGAATCCTACTTCCAGAGCTCTGCAAAGATTCAAAATTGGTGGACCGGAAGAGCGCATGCCAATTTGTGTTCTTCATGCTTTCGCCATCTTGAAGAAAGCGCTAGCTATAGTATGAGTACCTCAGTAGTTGGCATACATAATTGATTCTACTTTTTTAGGTTCACGTCGATTATGGTTTAGATAAGAAGATTGCTGACGCTATTTGTCAGGCAGCGGGTATGCTCTAGACATGATCAGACCTGGGTGTATGTTTCAAACAAATGTTTGCTTGATTACAGATGACGTGATTTCCGGAAAGTTGGACGATAGTTTTCCTCTCAGTTCCTGGCAAAGCACGACGCATTGGAATATGAATGTGAACGAGGTCATTGCCAACAGGTGAACTACAAAAACTACTACATCTGGAAACTGCCTTTTGTGCCGCTGGCGTATAGAAATGAACTTCAGAGGAATCGAAATTCTTGGAGGGGTCATGGGCTCTAAAACTCCTGTACATCCCATCGATCACGTGAATATGGGACAGTCTACCAATGACACGTACCCATCCGCCATGAACATTGCTGCGGCACTTGAAGTAAATATGCAAAATCATGTTCTTAAACGACGGTACTCGAATTCTTTCAGATTAACAATCGTCTTTTGCCGGCTGTTCAAATGCTACATGACTCACTAGATCAGAAATCCAAGGAGTGGAAGGATATCGTAAAAATCGGTCGCACTCATACCCAAGATGCTGTGCCTATCACATTAGGACAAGAGTTTTCAGGATATGTGACGCAGGTAAAAAAGTATTTTGCTTTCTAGAATACGCTAGCAGATGGAAACATGCTATAACAGATCATCGGATGTGCGTACTTCCTCTGAACCCAGCTATCAACCCTTGACATTCACTAGAGTTCTTCATGAGTGAGCTTCATTAAGGAGGGAAACAATTAATTACACTCATTTACAAATGTAAGCGGCACAAGCTGCGAATGCCGTGATTTCGACCCTGACACTATCGCTGGAATTAATTAAGCGTTCAGTTAAGCCTAATGAGATTCGAAAAAACAAAGATGTGGTACTTGTCACCACCCTATTTGTAAATAGCCTTGAGCCAATTTAACATAAGGATTGAATAAAGGCGCTTAGGGCTTAGGCAGTACGCCATCAAGAGCTTTCTTCAAGTGCTATCTAGTTCTTTTCTGAAGACAGGGAACCATGAGTTGCGAAACGAGCCTACCTCTCACAACATACTAGTAAGCCAGACAATGAAACAGTAGCGGACGGCATCACTGACTGTCAGCCAATGAGTCAAGGGTATTTCGTGATTGCATTGTGGTGTGGACGGTAAAAAATCACTGTTGATTGACACACGTTCATTTCAAGCGTTCATTCTAGGATTTCTCATAAATATTCAAGCTACCTCAGGAATCCTCCTTGCACAAATCTTTATCATAAAAACTTATGCCTCAGTTTTGTGTCAACTTAGTGTTCAGGGTCACGAGCTAAATTTTCCGTCAACCTTACATAACGCTCTACGCTCTTTCCTATGTAGCAGTCTTGGCAGGTCAAAGATCCCAGATGGTATACTGTACCTGTCTTTACACAGTTTCCTACATTTGGTAAGGATATACAACGATCTGCTATGCATCTACAATTTTAGATACTATTCAAAACTAACTGCTTTCTAATTGTTACCATAACAACAACCTAGTGCAAAAAGTGATTTTTCATAAAAATATTCTCTAGCAATACCTATCGATTTCCTAGCGTTAACAAGCATGATTGGTTTGCAGCTGGATAATGCTATGCAACGCATTCGGGGAACATTTGGGCGCCTACATCAGTTGCCCATTGGAGGAACTGCTGTTGGAACTGGTTTGAACTCGTTTAGAGGTTGTGGAGAAAAAGTTGCAAAGCAAGTCCAATAAAATAAAATTTGTAAATTTGTTGGGAATATGTTACTTGTAGAAAAGTAGCCGAACTTACTGGTCTCCCATTCACCACATCTCCGAATAAGTTCGAAGGGATAGCTAATCATGATTCTTATGTGGAACTTCATGGGGCCCTAAACGCTTTAGCGGCTGCCCTTTACAAAATTTCTAATGATATCCGCTTTCTGGGCTCTGGGCCAAGGTGAGACAACAAGTCGGCTTTTCCTTGAAAGCTGAATACAACTTTAGATGTGGCTTGGGAGAACTAACGCTCCCGCAAAACGAGCCCGGAAGTTCCATCATGCCCGGCAAAGTAAATCCTACCCAGTGCGATGCGATGACTATGGTGGCTATTCAAGTTATGTCAAACCAGGTAGTCAAAATTTGGCAGATACGGTTCTCTAACCAAGCTAGTACTCTTCAGTTTGCTGTCACTCTGGGTGGAGCTGGTGGACATTTTGAGCTGAACGTCTGTACACCAATGATGACTAGAACTACAATGCAGTCGATAAGGTTGTTACTTACGGTAGCCGTTTCTACTTTGTCGATGGCTGTTTGAAGGCTTTTGTCTGACATATGCGTATCAATCACAAAAAACTGTGTGGAAGGGATCACCCCCAATAAGGAAAGGATTGATAAGGTACGCTTGCTTAACCATCTGTGGCTTTTTCTACTTTCAACAATCATACGTAGATCATGAAAGAATCTCTCATGCTGGTCACAGCTCTCAATCCACATATTGGGTACGATAAAGCATGTAAGATCGCAAAGGTCTGTCTTGATTTTTAGCCATCACTATCCGAGGACGTTTGTGGCAAAAGTAGAAAATGTTTTGTTACACGAAATCCGTTTCGCACGTCTTGTGTGAATGTTAGGAATTTTAGAGTGCATACAAGAATGCCTCCAACTTACGAGAAGAAGCCATAAGGCTAGGCTATGTAACCGGCGAGCAGTATGATCAGTGGGTAAAGCCTGAGAAGATGTGCGCGCCGAAGTGATAGACACCTTGCATGCATGTTTATTAGTAATATGTAATAAATCTTAAGTGAAACGGTAGTGAACGAACTCAAATCACAAACAAATCTGCCATTACAAAAACTCTAGTGGGTTCCTTAGAAGATGACTAAATCTGAACGCACTAAAATGCTAGTGATGCACCATTTAGTACAAGCTTCCGTACCCTTTGAATACAGTTTTGATTCAAGGCTTCTGCGATAAATATGTGCGTTTTGTTTATACTACTCTTATCTCTGGTCCATTTGATTCCTACAAAAAATACAAAGTTGCATTTGAACTAGTTTGAATTTAACGTTTAACTAAAAGCTCATAATTTTCTTTGTCAAGGCGTTCCTCAAATGCAGTAACATCCTTAAAATGACTTCATATCGTTTGAAATTATATAACAAACTCTTCATTTTCAACGGCCAAAGCAGTTTTTCAAAAGATGGGTGATAGGCTGGAAGTAATAGTGCCGTAAGAATATCACTTCAACAGGCACTGAACGCGCACAAATTCACCATGACGGCTGCTGATGACGATAGTGAACAAAGGGATTCAATGATGTTCTTTTTGACACTATCAACAGCCGCATTCGAGCAAGAGTAGCGCAGAAACGGTAATATAAACGATATACGGTAATCGTCCAAATTCTGAATCTACTTTAAAAGCTTTACTTTGGTTGCAATACTGATGTAATTATGGCACATGTCTTATAGCCTCCTGTAGATAGCCAAAGCGAATCTGGTGTTTGTTGAATCGTCAAGTCTCGGGCCAAGAGCTGTGGCCGAATTAGCTACTGCTCTAGGGCAGAAAGCTGTAAAACCATTGGTGGGCATGCTCCAAAATTCTTTATCCCTACTTACCCTTCTCCTGAACATTCATTCCACAACATTCATATTATCTCACAAGGGAATGGTCAGAAGTCGAAGTGGCCAATCCATACAAGCTGCATAACATTAGATGCAGCAGAAAACACTAACTCTAAATCTGTCTTCCTTATCTGCAGAGCGCTTTTGTGGACGGAATTATAAGCCGTTGAAGGCTATTTTTTGCTAAAAAATTGTGCGTGTAAAATGCGAACTTGGCTGTGCAAAGCCATTCTCGGCTTAGTGTTGGACCAAAACATGTAGATCACTTCAAATGCCCCATGCCTAGAGGTGAGCTGAGAGAGCAACAATGTGCCTAATTTCACAATTTTTGTATACAATTTCTTCGCAGTAAAGCTGCTCATAACTTTGCCTACAAAGGCGCTCTGCAGATATGGAAGACAGATTGAAATCAGCATTCTGTGCTGCATCGAATGGTAAGCAGCTTGTGTGGATTGGCCACTTCGACTTCTGACCATTCCCTTGTCAGTAATGAAAATCCGTGTATGTTTTTAAATTCTTCTTTAGCATGACGGTAGGAAGCCTCCGATTGAAACCAGTACGAAGGTACAACGTCGCAAATACTCTCACATAAAATAGTTGGAGCTTTCGCACTGAAGCGAAGCTCAGCTGGTATAGGTATGAGGTTGCCTCATGGATTTCTCGTTTTGAATTTTGCTGCAGTAAGTCATGCGTTTCTCAATTCTAATTAGTTGCAAGGTACCATTTAATAGAGCAAATCAAGCTTTATAAGACAGCATGGAGAAGTTCGCCCAGGTTCAGACATCGAGTTAGGAACCGAAGTCTAACAAGAAGAAGTTTTGGATGGCCGAAAAATTGAAAAAAAATATCTTCGTATAAAAAGAAACTTACCAAAGCTACCATTTGCTCGCAAATATACTCCTCATTCGACAGTCATATACTGTTGCTTTAATCTTTTTCTGGATTAGAAACCTAGCAAACAAAAACCTCGGCTTTTGCCAAAGCGATGCTGTGCTGCTTACACAAGTAATTGTATACTACAAGCATTCAATTCAGAGTTACAACTGCAAGTTGGCTATAAGCTTAGTTTCCTGGAAATAGCATTTCAACATGCGATTCATGTAAGAAAGCTAAATTTGATGTCTCTCGTTCAAAAGCTTGTTGTATGTTGTGAACGGCACAGCATCGCTTTTGTAAAGTATAAAAATCTTCATTTTATTGAATTTTGTAAAGTATAAACATCTTCATTTTATTGAATTTTAGCTTGAAAAACAAAAAATACAGCAATTGCTTATTTGAATGTCTAATGAGGAGTGTATAATAACAACTAAAAACTCAGTTTTTTCTGTAAGAATCTGTAAGATAAGATTTCATTTCACGCATCCTAAACATCTCAATTTCCGACTTCTAATTTGAGTGATGCAAACGCTTATATGCCTAGAGCTTGCTTTGCTCTCTCATGAGGTACCCTGCCATCCAATTAGAACCAAAAAGATATCGCCTCTGAAAGAAAGTCGAAATACAGCGGACGACTAAATTGAGCTTGCTATTTTGAATTTGCTATAATATCTTCGTAATTGCTCAAATAGTCAGTCTTCAGGCACATCCTTAGGTAGTCGTGAATGTTTATCTAAAAATTCTCGAAAACATGATAAAAATATCAAAAATATCGCATACGCTCTACATTCTACTAATGGTTACATCTAGCATCTCACATGATGATAACATAGATCATGCCCAGAAATCTTACACTTGTCCTAGGATAATGACCAGATTTGACATAAGTGGAAGTTGGCTTTCGAATTAGGTTCTCTCTGTACCTTCCGACCCTCTTCCTCCTCTCCTTCTCACCCCATCAACAAGTTTCCGCATCAAACAGTATTTATAGAAAGGCTTATGGAATCCTTGGCAGCAAAGCCTCGCAAAGTGCGAAGAAGTCCGATTTGCTGATTGATACTGGTGCGACTGTTTTTAGTATGCATATCTGTTTCTACGCAAGATATTAAGGGGTTTAATGTTAACAATGAAAAAAAAACACTATCAGACGTATGCAAAACACTCAAATATATATACAAACTTCAGACATCTTTCCAAAATGCGAACTATAGGTCTCCGTGACACTTCGGAAACGAGATGTTTCACGGATTTTTGCAGTCGGATAATGAAATTCAACATGTACTGTTTGTTTTACACTCTTCACACTTCTTCACGTAATCTTTGGCAACGTCTACTGCTGCTGCGGCTAACGCTCCCTCCGCTACCCTTCCCGCTGCCTTACAAATCGTTTGACACTATAAATTTATTTAGTGAGCACGCGAAATTTCCTAAAAAAGGCTAGAATTGAAACCTACTGCTCGACAGAGTTGCGCTGGAAATGTATCACAAAGAGACACCAGGATGGACAGAATTAGCACTATTCTGGGTAGGAGCATTGTCTAAATTGTATTTTAGAAATTTGAATAAGAGATGACAAATGAAAAGTACGAGATGAATGTCCTAGAAGATCTATAGCGACCAAGAAAATGCATTACAACAATGATAAGCTAGATCAAGGGCGTTTTATATGGTTACTGCATTTTATTTCTCAAATCTTTTTGCCTGTGATGCAGGCTCATCTCAGTCGTTGGAAGCACCTAGAACAATAGGTAATCTTTAATGAAGACATTCGAGTTTACAAAAAAAAAGTTCTAAGTTGAGTAGTAAGTCTGTGTGAATTTTCATTCAAGTTTAGCCAGTGTTCAGTACATATCTAAAAAGATGTACTTATGCTTGCGACTTCTACATTTTCCTACTCTTTTTTGCGTCACTGGTCGCCTTATTTCCGAATTCAAAAAAAAAACAACAACAACGGCTTCAAAACTCAAAGATGGGACGATGGGGTGCAAGATAATTGAGAGATTCAAGTTTCCTCGTTCTTCGTTGATAAAATCTCCGGCAAAGCATAATTTATCTCTCTTCTAAAAAATTAATCTGATGAAGTCAGTTATCGCTAAACTCAAAGAAATTCGCGAAGACCAAAAGGCCGTGATATGCATGTGAACACTGCGAAAAGTGTATTGGGAAAAATACTAGAAGTAAATACATCAAAAATCATAACTCAATTTGACACTCGATCCTTCAAGGCAGGTCAGGTCGCATATACCAATTTCCTATGGCCAACGCAATATGTGAGAACACAGTGAAAGACTAATCCGCTCAAAACATGATTAAATCTACTGGCATATGAGCTGGAGGCAAAAAATTCAGAAAAGTATAATCGTGCTTGCTATGTGAACTTGCTAAGATCTTCGTAATTGCTGATATAGTCAGTTTTCAGGCACGCCCTCAGAGAGTCGTGAATGTTAGCTAAAAAATTCCGAAAACACGGTACTATCATCAAAGATGTCGCATACGATCTACATTCAACTATTAACAGTACACATCTGTTTACTCTGAGCTACAAACCTCACATTATTTATTCATAGCTGCTAGCTATTTTAGTTTGAAGACAAAAAGAAAGAATTGAGCAATCATAGCAATCATGTTTGGTGAAATGCAAAGTTGATATGAAGTAATCAAAAAGGCAGAAAAACGTAGCGCTTAATTCTCACATCTTTATAAACTCCTTTCAGATGCTATCACGCTTTACCGCGTGATTCTACGTATGGTCGGTCCATTCATCTTTTTATGATATACGACCTACTGAGCATTTGTAATCGCTACATACAAGGATGACGTCGGCAAACTTTCACTTAAAAACTTTGCCCTTTCGGAATTTTCTGATTCAACATATCTGTCCAAAATACGATCTCTGGTTTTCATTATTGCGGTAAATGCGATTCTGTTTAGTCATCAGTCCTGCTAGCAAGCACTACGCTTTTCAAGCTTTTGTATAACTTTGAACTAGAAGCGACGGCGATTTTGATGCAGTCATGTTGGCAACTAAATGCAATTTGTTCTACATGCATACAGCGTATGCAAATTCTGGCATTATGTAAATTACGATGTGAGCTGCAAATCATATGCACAAACGATGTGATTTTTAATGATAAAATTAAAAATCCAAGCAACATTCGTTCAAAAACTGCTTAAAACATTCCCGACACGGCCGTTTTATCGACTTCTGCCGTTTCAGACATACGACCCACTGGTATCAACTTTATCGTGTCTTTTTTTCGGCTGCCG